AGTTCATTTCGTATTCATGAGGTTTTTTCGTACGAAAAACTGCCACGGATTCATGGTCGATAATAAAAAAAACAACGACTAAAGCTAGACCAGTGATTATAGGCGGTGAGCCGCTGGCTCACGGTTCGTAGTCTCTGCTTCAGCTCGTTCTGCTTAAGGTTAGTCTAGCAGCAAAGAAAAAAGCTCGGCACTCCGCCTAGATTATAGGCTACAAATAATGTAATAAACAACCCTAAGTACTTTATTATTATCCTTTTTTTCCACTTAATCCATCACTTTTTGCATTTAATCCCTATAGGAGATGACTTTTTTGTCAAATCTGGATTCTACATTCCTGTCTTTTGCGAGCAATATCGCCGTTATTTTCGCTTGGTTTTTGTTGATTTTGGAGTATGTTGTAGCTGAGACTATATGCTATCTAAATGTCCCCTCATTTTTCCAATCAGATGTCATCATGGTCTGTTGATGATGACCATCATCAGCATCATCATGATCATCGTCATGATCATCATTGTTTACATGTCTATATAACTTCTCCCTTTCTCAATACAGTAAATATTATAATCTATCATAAGACTTGAAGACAGACCACCTTATTCGTCCTCGTGACGAATTAAATTCTAGTTTATTATTATTCTTCCTCGAATTTGTTCGCAGGATATCTCAAGACTGAATAAAGCCATTGTCATGAAACTTGCCATGATGATAGATCTTAGTCTAACTTAGAACTGCGTGACTTTTTAGAGAATAAAAAATATCGTGACGTCATCCAGGCGCCATTTCGTGAAAATCAACTTATGATCATATCTTCATAACGGAAACTAATTTCTCATTTATAATTATCAGGATTAAGATCAATATCCGTCCGGTCAATTTCAGGTCAATAAATGCGCGCAAAAATGCGCGTACGCGTTTGTGCTCGCGTTAACGCGCGCGTAAAATTTTAAATTGTTCAAAATCGTCTTAAATTTTTTTTGCATACGTTTCAGGCCATTATAAGCATTTCATAAAAAATCGCGCAAAACACGCATTTTTGCGCGTTTTCGTTCGTCACGGCCGAACGAAAAATAATTACCCCTCAATTTTTTTTTCGTAAGATATTCGTCATATTTTTCTGAACAATTTGATACCATGTTCATCTTTTTATCACTATCAATAATGGAATGAGCGTCCGTTGAAGATAAATATCCGTGCGTGCTAGTTCATGTATTACATAGCATATATGGGCAAAAACATGCCTATAAAAAGTACATCGGGATGAATAAGGACTGCCATTTTTGTCTTCATCTTTAGATAGAGTATGAGTTGGAGATATGATATCATGTCTCATTTGGCCATTAAGTGCTCAAGGCCCCAATTCAATTCCAAATTTCCAACGTTATTTAAATTACACGAGGGTTTGTATCTTTTTACAAAATACACGATAAACAATTAGCCGAAAATAACCTCGTGTCAAGTTTAGCTGAATAAATGCGGGTATTATTCGATGGTAAAAAGTTTGTAAAACGACTTTCAATTAAAGGGAGACAAAAATCTTTTCTCAAAGTTTGTTGATTCAGGGAAGCAGGGTGCGATCCAGCCGGGGCGATTCTCAACAACATGAAGCAAATAGTAAGCATCTAAAAACTTCAGATGCCTGTTTGATTATGATTTAAATTTGAGTGTATGCCTCAATCATATATAGAGAATATAACCACTAATTTCGCTGAAACGATTCTCCTCCTCCCCGTTCTTCTTCATCTTCTGCTTCCTAGTTGTAGTAGTTGGAGTAGTAATAGCAGCAGTATCATTATAATCATTGTTATATTTATAATTATAGTAAATATCGTAATTATAATCAATATTATAGTAAGTGTGTGTTAATGTTATTATTCTTATAGTTATTTGCATGCTTTTTCTTCTGATCATAATTATCGTACACACAATACGTCATGTGCCAAGAATTTATTGCTATGATACATCCAAGATGTCTACCAAAACTGTCAATTCGTTGCTGAAATATTATCAAGCCAAAAGAAGGAACATTAGAATTTCTATTTTAAATTGAAATAAATTATATAGGAGAAATAAATAGAGAATACAATCATGATTTTGGAACTAGGGGATTAACATGGACATAATGCACTTGTTAACATGACCGAATTATCTCTTATTCATTCTACCTCCAATTTTTCAGACTGTTTTCAAAACAATATCATGTGTGTCGATCATAGTTCTATGTAGCTTGATGTCTCCTCGTAATTTAAACAATCTAAGCAACAATTTCTGAATTTTAGCGACAATCGTTCGCTCTTGCGGCTCTTTAATACTATTATGACGTGCAATAACAAATTGAAATTTCAGAACTCATGATAAATTCGTTTAAAAGTTGATTCCACTTGATTCTATTGTTCTGGTTATTTAGCAGAACGAGATATAAATTGACATTCTCATGGCTTACGACTTTGCATTAGTGTTCAGCGTCTCTACAATGCTATTTAAACAATATTTGGAGACAAAAGACGGCATTTTTATGTAGCGTCAAAAGCCATCAAATAACAAAAACATGGCAGATAAAAAGATCCTCAGTACTGGGTCTAATAATTTAAAGAACACTTAATTTGAACCCGGCCATATTCTCTCTCTCACTTGTTTGTCATTGCCTTCATTTTCCCTCGCTTACTTCATTCTTACCACGGAATATGTAATGTGTATGTGTAGGCCTCATTATGTTAATTAGGGTCAATGGTCAAATTGTCTCAATATATCTTCCATACATCCATAATTATCAAGGCTAAACAGTAGAAACTTGACATATGGATAGATCATAATGGGAGAAGCATTTTATATAAAAATATGACATCGTGAAAATGCATTCTTCATTATGTAAATCATTAGCATACGTATCACCTAATTCGTCAAAGTGACGAATTAAAGTCTAGTTATTATTAACTTGCTGGGTTTCTTAATGATAGGAATTGGAATAATAACTGACGACTTCCAAAGTTGTGGAATGACACCATTATCAATATTCAAACGGAAAATACAAGTAAAAATGTAGGCAAGTAAATAATGTTGTTGATGGCAAATCTCAGAACCTCAGAACCCGGTGGTTTGTCCCACCAAGTTTAAGCTCTTCTAAAATGAGTGAACAGAAAAGCGAATTTAGGGGCAGATTGGAGCCTCCCTCCCCCGTTGATTCAATTCTCTCTAAAGTTTGGCATTTGCTTTGAAAAATAAAACCTTAACAAAACATATTTACCCTTGGTAAATAAGGCTAAATCGTTATTGTTATTAATTGATCTACCGCGTAGCGTGCTAGAGCACCTATTGAGCACCTATCTCATGAATGGCATGGTGAAAGACCGTTAACCATTCATGGCATGTGCCTACAAAGTATAATTTGGTTAATTTATTGTAGCATCTATTCGATTTTTATAATTCCTTGATTTGGTGTCTGTTTTTGTCTCTATTTCTGTTATGGAAGAAAACACTATACAATGCGTCCCAGATAAAACGAAACCGAGAATTATCGATGTTTCATCATAACTTAATCACAATTATAATTGATAAATGACACATATTTGGAAAGCTTAGATCCTCCTCTTTCATTTGATGAAACAGATAATAATGCATATTTCACGCATGAGTGATTAAAATAAATTTGAAGAGAGGAAAACAAAAAGTCATTTTTCCTGATTGAGGTGTCATATGAAAGGGCAGAAACCCAACTTTCTAGAAATGTGATTTTCTCTTTGAAATTCAGATACCGGGGTAAAATTCAATGAATTATCGAAAATTTATTGCATTTTATTTTTCATTTTTTTTATTTGTGGGAACTGCCCCCTACCCTAGCCCCCGCTGCGTACATTCATGGTTCCGTGACAAAGCAATGGCCTCGTAACTGTGAGACCCCAGGATCAAAACCGTGTCGATATGCTATATTAGTGCCTTTTTGTGGGGCATTAATCCTCATTACTGTCATTTATGACTTAAGGGCGTAGGTCCCCTAGTTGATAAGCATATTATCATACACATGCTTTAGCAGTCACGCAAAACAAACACTGGCTTATTATTATTCAATCAAATCTGAAAATGTATACTATTATCTAGATCTATTAGGAATAAATCATTTTTAAAATAATTCCATAAATTGGGGTAAAAAAAAACATTCCAACTATATGAGCGACAGTGTAGTGCCTTTAAGGTCTGCAGTAACGGGAGTGACCGATAGACAATGGTAATTGATGAGGTGGTCTGCAGTCACTATGAACATGACAGACAATGAAAGCGGACAAAATATACAGTTTCTCAGGTAGACAAAGAAACATCCCTTCACTGCTATTATGTAAAAATGTGTAGAACAGGTGAATATGCATGTGACACCTGTTCTACACATTTTTACATAATAGTTCATAGTGAGTGAAACCTGTGGGGTGGGGCGTTTCACAAAGCCTTTTTTCAATGACAAATAACAAAAATCAGTGACAAATCTGCTGATAACCAATCAGAAGCAAGCATTTCAGTAGTTTATAAAAAAAATTGTCATTTGTCACTGATGACAAGTTTTGTGAACGCCCCCAGATGTGTGTAACTAGCTAGCCACTGGTGAGGAGGTCTACAGTAAGAGACCTGAGATAGGTGATGTCTGTTCCCTGGAAAGAAGGTTGATGTAACCTGTGCTTAATTATGTGTATGCTGTATAATTTCTCGGCCAATTAAGAGTAGGGGGTTTTGTCCCCCTTATTTCAGATAGCCAATACAAATTGACTCGGCCTACTACTTGGTGTTTGTTGCCTGTTTGTTTACGCCCCCCCCTGACAGACTACGACAGTACTTATGATAATTAAATCTTTTACAAGCACTTCAATTTAAGGGTAACACTATTGAATGTAAATAAAGAGAGGACGTTTGAATATGACATCGGGCCTGGATCCGCAAGTCGTTGACTCTTGGAAGTGCACAACATTCCAATTGAAAATCTATTTATATACGCAAATTATATTCCATTTTCTTCACAGGTTGTACGAGTCCTGATTGCATCCCATCTGATATGGTTGTCCATGAATCAGAATATCATCGGAATCCCCCAAAGAGCAGGATGGAGTCTGGCGGAAGGAATCCATGTTTTCACTTCACAGCTATCGTCTCTCTGATGGTGTATCTATGTTTCTTTGTCCCATTGGCATTTTGGTAATAATAAATGGCGTAGCTACGAGAAAGGGGCACAGTCCCCTCATTTGAATGCGGAAAGAAGAAAACACGAGATAAAGATGGAAAGAAATATGATGATGATTTGTTTTTCTTCAAGTTTCATCAGTTTTGTCCTCCAACTCTCTACGATTAATCAGGGCTCGACACTAACAGGCGCCCACAATCTAGAACCGAACAGGACATATCACTCATGCAAACAGACCATCAAAAATGTGAAAATAATGAAAATATTGATAAAAGATCGGCAAATGTTGCTGTCTTTTGCGTCTGTTCTGAAAAACAGTTGGAATTACCATCAAGGGTCTAGGGATCTTCATATCGAGAGAAGATGTCATCAACATTTTAGGGGAAATTAATACCAACTGAGTGGGTGATATTTTGCCTGGAAAATATGCAATTATCTATTTTGATGGCTAGCTTTTTAAGTAAAATCAGCTATACACTTGCGTGCGCAAAATAAGGTCTTGTTGTTTTATGACTTTTTCGTCAGATCCAACATCGAATTTATAGATTGCGCTATCTCTGAATTTGTTTGACGATAAATCTTCTAGTTGCATCAATTTGTAGTCGAAATGTTGCTAGTTATTTGGTAATAATTGAACTAAATAGATTTGTGAGAATTATATATATCATAGATCGAATATCAGATTTCTTTTAATCTCGGCGAACTTTGATCACCCGATTATTGTGTAAACCTGTGTCTTTTACAGGTCCCCCTGTGAAGATGTTGTTACACCAAACGAGCTTGGCAAAAATGGCTCCCATCAACAGATAGAGGTTTGTCAAGAGATCAAATATGGCAACGTGGATCATCACACGCAGAAAGCGCACCACTGGGACCAGAAGGGAAGAGTCCCCTACCCCATAACCGATCTGAACTACTTTTACGATGACCTCCCATCCGGAGAGCGAGCTCCGGGACACATCGTGCGGGTGAACAGTCCTGCCAGGACAGTTTCAGTCCTGGAGCCCTTTGATTCAGGAGGTTGCACCAATCATCACAGGGCCACTGTCGATTCTACTGCAAAGCAGGATAACTGCCTGGTGGCCGTCAATGCTGGGTTCTTCAACCCGAGAAGCGGAGCATGCTATGGAAATGTTGTGAGCAATGGGAGGCTTGTCCAAACAAATGGAGGATTGCAGAATGCCCATTTGGGTATCCGAGCTGATGGGACACTTGTCTTTGGGTGAGATTTAGAAGGCACTGTTTTTTAGCTATCTCGTTTACACAATAATTGATGAGTAATAATCTTTCTGACTAATGAAGGTAGAACTATCAGAATACAAGATTGGAGGTATGTTAGTGCTCAATTAACTTGCAGACTTCAAAAGAAGGAATCTTAAAAGGAAAGTCCAAAGTGAGTTTTCAAATTACCGTCCCTGGTTGTGCTTTAATAAAAGCGATACCAAATGCGATTAATAAATTTAGGCAATATGTACCTCCATTGATGAGGAAAAGTCAAAGGTGGTCTATGTCACTGATTTAAATCTTGATTATTTTGGGAAATGATTTGTGATTTTACTGATGTATTAGATTAAATTTGACTTCACTTGCAGATTTAAACAGTAACAAACCAAAGATTGATATGGTTATCTTTATCTAGGTATTTATCAGAAGAAAATGTATTACAAACAGAGAATCCATTTATCCAGCTGGTAGGAGGAGTCGGATGGTTGCTAAGAGACGGTGAAATATATGTAGAAGAGAGCAAGAAAGCAGAATGTGGAGACACAGAGGAAGCAAGTATGTTATAAACAAAGCTTGTAAGAGTTAGAGATAGTTACACAAGAAGTCGCGTTTATTGAGATTGAATTTGGGAGGCAACTATTTAGAGCTACTTGAATTTACCTTTGAGTAGGCCCTATGTACACATGCGTGTGTCACAACTAAATTATCTATCTCAATACATAATTTTTTCTCTATTGTTTATAGGGCTGTTTCAAATTGCGTTCAAAAGAAAAAAGTACAGAGTGGGTGCTTTGCAGAAGGATATGGGACTAAGTAATGCTGTTATGCTTATATCTACATGCATTTATAATATCCCATCCCGACTTGACATTGGCATGGCCTCACCACATAATCTCGATAAACGATCACCTTGATCAGAATAGAGCTGCCAATACTCTATCATGCTGGAGATCTAATTTTGAACATAATTAACTCTCCCTTCAGAAGCTGCACTAGTTGCCTATTCAAGCGCATACAATTTAAGATATTCCACCAGATATGGAAAGTTGTAAATGGATTCACACCAAGATATAATCATACCTTCTCGTATTCTAAGATGATCACATCAACATCTCCTTCAGATCCCAAGTACAAGAAGTCGCCTGCCGCGAAAGGTCTCTCTTGGCCCCAGCACACTGTCTGTGGAACAATTTACCTCTGGAGCTGAAATTTTAAATTCATTAGAAAGTTACAAGTCCAAGTTGAAATGTTGCCTTTCAAATCAATTCTTGACATATGGCACTTATTCAGATTATTATGTCTTATCTATTCTCCTTGTGCGCATTGGAATAGAAGTTCTATATAGATGGCGCAATAGAAATGCCTATTATCATTATAATAATAATAATAATAATAATAATAATAATAATAATAATAATAATAATAATAATAATAATAATAATAATAATAATAATAAGGAGGCTTCCTATTTTCAAGTGTATATTTTTTTGTTTTCCTCCTTTTCTTGTTCAAATTTAATTATTTACGAATGTACAATCTGATGTTTTATTTGATGTTCAAGAATAAAATGATTTTGAATTGAATTTGAATAATATTTGTAATGTTATTAATATTATTATTATTAATAGTATTTTTATTTTTATCATTATTATAATTATTATTATTATTACTGTATTTGGAAAGGCCAAGTTATTTTATGTGATACTTCACTTATAACTGAAGATTTTATTATATCTGATGATTGTCTCAAGTGGAGAATCCTACTAGCTTCGATTATTCCAAACATGAAGTAAAAAGCAATTATACATTTGATGTTAACGTATATTCAGATTTCCAGATTACTTGACAACATTTTAACTTGAAGTTAACCATATCTCAATCCCAAGGGGGCAAATTGCCCTGAACCCCTGTATATTCGATTTGTTGGTGTAATTTTTTGTGTGATATAAAGAGTGAACAAATATACAGGAATGGTGAGTGATTTAGCTCTCGGAAGCTCTGAAAGTGCTTTGGTAAATTGAAAAAGAGCTCTGGTACAAAACAATAAAATATTTTAAAATCGCTGCGAGAAAATCACACTAATACAAAACCAAATCCTAAAAGAGTTCCCACAAACAATGGAGACAATCTACAAGCATTTGTTTGGCCAATTGCACATCACCTCACCGTACTGCAAAAACAATAAACTTTCGCAACATGAAGCTCTTTTTAATTGTTACGGACAGCCATTTCCATAGCAAGAAACTTTTGTAAATTTGCTTAAAACCCTAACCATAAGCCTAACTCTTTTACAATTACTGAGTGCTTCACCAAATGTGAATATGTTATCAAACCAAAATTGATACTTGCTTGACATACTCCTGCAACAAGATCTACTGCCTCTGTATGTCAATTTCCTACACAAACCAAATTTATAACTTTGACCCTGGACCCAACATTCAACCTAAGCCGAACCCTAACCCTAATCCTAAACCTAACCTAAAACCCAATAGAAACCCTAAGCATTTCTTAAACCCTGTAATTTTTACTCAAACGATAAAACCCGGAGCAATTGCTATATATAGGAACAAATTAAAGTCGATCACAATTTCCAGTTATTTCTCCATTCACTTGTGTGCAAAGTGAACCAAATTGGGCATTCAACCTGTATTGAATGATAGTAACAATGAATGATGTCTTGCATTTTCCAGGTAGTGTGGATTTATTCTTTAACATGCTTTCAGCGAGAGTAGCTGTGGGCAGTGATGAAAAGGGACGATTAGTCATTGCGGTTATAGATGGACAGACTCTGAAGAGGGGGTAAGGCTCAGAAGTTGAAATGTCATTTTAAAGCGAATTTAGGGTTTACTTCTTTAATATCAATTTCTTAGAAATATAGATAACAATTGCAGATTTTCTGGAGCTAGTAGCCTGTTACGCTTGCATTATCAACAGTTTTCCTCTTTTGTATCGACTGCGTATAGCTTAGAAACACTAAGAAACATTACCATTATTGCTTAGGATAATTTACTTCTGAAAAAAGTACACATCCTGAAGTTGTAAAAGCTCGAAATGGCATAATGTTCATAATATGTGTATTGCATTCTCACTCGCATCTCGAGATGCAAACGAGATATGGCGTTTATTCAGATTCAGATTTCAATTAATTTTATTGGTCCATTTGGAAATTCAATTTGTCGGCATTACATAAAGCACATGAACAAAATACAATAGAAAATGATATCAACGGATAATATACACTGTAGCAAATGTATGATGAAGTCATATAGAAACACGGATATATATATATATATATATCGTTATAACATAGTAGAATAATATAAGAAAATAAATGGATTTACAACAATATTGAAAATGTACGATTGCGTAGAATTCGAAATATATCATTGTTATTTTGTTTAATTTTTTTAAAATAAATATTATTATCATTATTATTATCATCATCATTATTAACATTATTATTATTATCATTATTATCATCTGTTACTATCATTATTATTTATTATTTAATATAATCATCATCATCATCAACATTATTTATTATCATTATTTGTCACGGTAATATAGCTGATTTTTTGTTTTTTCTTCATAAATTAAACGGTATATAACTAATACTTGGAGTAACATATGGTATCAAAGGGAATTGTTTGCTTTCTTTGCTCGTGATACCGGTACATTTGGTTAAAAAGGAATTACGGTACAATGCAATTGATGAATAATGAATTTTATCTTCGGTCTGTTATCAGTCTGCTGTCGGTTTCATTGCAGGAAAACCCTTCTTACTTTGTTCCCTTTTTCAAAGAAGGGCCAAATAATCTCACAAAAAGCTTTTGATACCTCATCCATGCAGTTTATCAACCAAATAAGGGAGTTTACAGATAGCACATGGTACAAATGACCACATATCCACAGATCTTTTACAAACGGAGAAGTTCCACTTTGAGCATCTTAGAATAATAACTGCCAAAGTCCTAGATGTGCTTCATGAATACCTTTTGTTTGACCTCTTGAAAAGAATACTTCCACCTGCGTATCATAGAATGTACCGTTGGTGCATACATGAGTAATGTTACATATAACTTTCATGAGCGCATATCCAGTATTCATCTCTGTGGGTTTTACCATTTTGGTACAAATGACCTTTATCTGCCCATGCGCAGATTGTATCTGTAAACTCCCTTATTCTAATTTCGCTTTCCGTTTGATTATTCAGGCTGTCGTTGTTATCCTTTGCGAAATGGCTTCTTTCTCACGGAGTAACAAATGCCATTAATTTTGACGGAGGTGGATCGGCAACCTTTGTGGTTAACGGAACTATTGTCAATCACCCATCCGATCCTTGGTGAGTGAATGGTTGCTCCGTTTTTTCACTTCCAATAATTCCTGGGCCCTGTTCCATAACAACCTTTTATCAGAAGCAAGTGACAATAACTGCTAAAATCTATTGAAATGGTCGCATTTACTTGGCTGAAGCAAATTTGTCACAACATGGGCAGTTAAGTACGTTGACACGCATGATCAGTCGGCGTTCGTCGTGTTCTCGTCCACTCAATCTAAAAGTCCCTAATTGATAAGTTTATGAACCACAGGGCCTTGAGCATATAGGCTCACATATATCAGTATGTGATTTAATCACGTTTTGGACCGGATGTCCTCTCCGATATATCCGTGTACACTAGGTCCCCTTTTATCTGATCAGGTTTACTCATGCTTCATGTTTAGTATTATCATTTTATTTGATACAAGGCTGTAAATGTGGTTATAGTTTTGGTGTTGCAAATGTACATCAGTGTATGAAGTAAATATTGTATGCCAATTCGGAAAGCCATTAAAAACGGAGAAATCACGATATGTAGAGAAACAAGCGTACTGGTATTGAAAAGAGAGCTTTAATATCAAATTACAGATTTGTAGTCAACGTAGTACAGATGAAATTAGAAATGGTTCCTCATTTTTTGTTGAAGGTTAAAGGAAAATCCAACCTTAAAAACAAACTACTCTTGACTAAAAGAAAGCTGAAAAATATCAAAAAAGCAGACAGGTGAAAGTTTGAACGAAACTGGACAAATAATAAGACAGAGGACCTATAATAATATGTTATCCATGGTATAATCTAGTAGTGCTACAAGGGAGAAATCACTTGGAGAAAACAAATAAACAGAAATAAGTGATATTCCACTGACCAAAATAAAGTATGATTGTCATTTAATGTATCATTGGGGGTAGATCGTGCATACAAAGATATTAATAAGTTTATTCATGACTTACAATAGTTCAGGTATTATGAATAAAGTTGTGAAGTGCATAATCACAGTGTGTTATGTTTACAACATAGCCATGACATTACCTACCGATGTCCCAGGCAAGTATCCACCATTTTCTGTGTCCATGAGCCGAGATGCGATCCCAGAGACTGTAATAACCATGGCGACTGCATCCAAGGAGAGTGCCGTTGCCATGCCAACTGGCATGGGGTGTCATGTGACCAGCTCCAATGTGGAGATCATAACTGCAGTGGGCAAGGCATATGTAATAGAGGTATGTACATTTATGTTCGACAAAGACTTTTTATTTTTCGAGAAAAATGTAAATGATTCTTATCTAAAATAAGTTTCATGTAGACAAATCATTTAGTTTTAGATAGAGAATTCTTGTAGATAAATGTATGGGGGGGGGGTAATATACAAACCAAGTGAATGGTAGCTTGTTGATATGAAATCTAGTTTCCTTTATGACGTTCATCTGATTAGTTGTGTTGAAAAAACACTTTTCTGCATGCCTACTTACCATAATCACCTTCATTTCATGTTTTGAGATTGTCACCCACACGCAATCATGGCTTTATCAAAATACTGGTCATGAACAGTCCAAGAGATTTGCTTGGGAAACCAGAAAATTTCTTCTATCGAAATAATATTTGCAGTATGAAGATGTGTATCTTCTTGACTTTAAAACTTCATACAAGCTCATTTACTTAAGATGCGGTATACCATGGTGTATATTTGAATTAAATTAAAGTGTAATACGCTTTTACATTTTGTATCTTATAAGAAATGTATAAGTGTTGCACATATCTCCTTATTCTAGCCCCACTTGCCGTGACATGCAATTGAAGAAAAAAAAATGATATAGTTTTCCACATCATTTGAATATACCTTAAAGAAACAATTTTGTAGGTTGTCTTTCTCCTTAAACTGATTTTCGGTGCCAGGTAAAAATGTCAGAGGTAAAAATGTCAGAGGTAAAAATGTCAGAGGAAAAAATGTCAGAGGTAAAAATGTCAGAGGAAAAAATGTCAGAGGAAAAAATGTCAGAGGTAAAAATGTCAGAGGTAAAAATGTCAGAGGTAAAACTGTCAGAGGTAAAAATGTCAGAGGAAAAAATGTCAGAGGTAAAAATGTCAGAGGTAAAAATGTCAGAGGTAAAAATGTCAGAGGTAAAAATGTCAGAGGAAAAAATGTCAGTTGTAAAAATGTCAGAGGTACAAGCAAAAAAAATGAGTGCCGTCATAATATCTCAACACTTTTATCACACAGAATGTTGAGACGTACTGCTACTGCATTGGCTAGTCTATTATATTCCTTTCTTCCATAATGTAAATTTTATAAATGGCTGTGTGTTGTATTTCGTACATGTCCCGAGGATAATACAATGTGGAAAATAGATTTTGAAATTTATTTTGTTGTGATCAGGCTTGCATATAATGAATGTCTAACATTTTTTGATATTTTGAATTGGTTGATGTGTTAATGTTTGTGAAACGGACCGGTTTGGCCGGTGGCAGCCTGCAACATAGCCCGTGTAACATTCCAGAGACGAACAAAGACCAAACGAAGAAATGAAAATTCTCGACAAAAGTCAAGTGTTAAAGTGAGTAGTGCATTTAGTACAAAATAGTTACATAATCACGAGGAATCACGAAAAGTTACATATAAGGGCTGGGCGCCCCGAACTCTGCTAAAGCTTTTAGCACCTCATGGCGGCAAAGGAAGTGGAGTAAGAATGAGAAAAAACAAGAAGTCGCCCGAAAAGTAAAAAGTCGCTCCGAAAACTAAAAACCCACTCCAAAAAGTAAAAGACCGTCTCGATTCAGAAGCTCATCCCCATTTTAAACTCTCCGACAATTATAAATAACGATGTAATTTAAACCGAACCTCTGCAAAGCGCGCGCTTCTCTAAAATGTGATGGTGCGGTTGGCATTTAAAGATAAAGTTGAGTTCTGGTCTTGCGATTGCATTGTGAAAGAAACGGTGTGGAAGCAATCAGAAAAGGTTGATCATCTAGCATAAACATGTAAGTATTGGTGTGTAGTGCAAGGTTTTGGAGTCATCAAAATGATAAAATCTTTGGTACACAGAAAGATATTGATATGGGACTACACAAACATATGGCATACATTATTATCGGGCCTCATTTCAAAGCTGTTACTTGTCATATCTGGGATATGAAGTCATATGAAATAGATTTTTAGGGAATAACTTTTTTCTTTGATGTTCTTCCACACTTGCATAATAAGAATGATAACAAACGCTCACACATTATTGTTCACCTTTCCCCAGAACTCAACCTTCTCTTTAATTGATGTAACATGGGCGGCTTGCTGCTTTGTATCGGAGTAACAAAGCTGTTTATTGATTTTTCCCAGACTACTCTATACCGCAATAGTAATCGACAAATATTTTATTGCAACGTGAGCACTTCGGGAATGTGATGGTGCGGTTAGCACTGATAACATGGCTTTCTGCTTTGTTTCAGCATGGACCCTACTTTCAGAGTATCAAAATACCAAGCCCACAAGAAAGTGGAATTGTCGGAAATATGCATTTATTGGAAATTACATATAATAGTAGTCATTGCCACGCAGTTGAAATGTCCAACAATCTTCAAAAGTGAAGGAGAAGTGGGGGGGGGGGGGGGTCATAGATATCTGTTCCTATTTTGTGGGCTGTACTGACTTTTCTTTTTATTTAATGATTACACCATGGAGCGACAACTCAGCCTATAAAACATGGCCAAACTTCTCGATTTTAGAAATCTTTTCCCCCAGAAGTTTGCTCAGTGTACCAGTACCATTTGCTTATACAAAAGCATAATATACCGGTATATCAATATTGAATAAGGCAGACTAATGGGACATGCATGGTTGCTACTCCGAGTTTCACGCCTCGCAAGCGATCATCAGACAACTGATAGCTTTCGTCAAAGTACATGATTCCTCTACAACCTTGGTACAAATACGCACAAAATAAGAGCAATACAATACAATAAGACTACAATACCTGAATACAATACAATAAGAATACTCATGAGTAATTCCAATTGTATTTTATTAGTTAAGTCTTATTTTAGGGGTATTTGTACCGATTTAAAGGGGAAGTCCACCCTGAAATTAAGTTAGTTTTAATAGGAGTAGAAAAATGAGAGAAACAAGTCAGTGAAAGTTTGAGCAAATTCCGATTAAAAATAAGGAAGTTAGGATTTTTGAAGTTGTGATCAATCAAACACAAATTGGCAACTCTGTGACGTATCATGCGAGCTCAACTTCCATTTGCTCAGTACTAAAAAAATCTAAAATTTTCATTTTCCCTCAAGAAAAATTTCAACCATGCATGCACCCTAAATATAATAATTGCAAATATGTTTCTATACTCCCCCTGCAAGGAACAAATATATATTCCGTCATCAATAACGAAGAAAACATGATTTTATGGAATATTATGCACAAATGAAGGAGAGCTCGTATAATAAGTCACAGAGTTGCCAATTTGTATTTGATTGATCACAACTTCAATAATTCATAACTTTCTTATTTTCATTCAGAATTTGCTCAAACTTTCACTCACCTGATTTTCTTATTATTCTGCATCTATCGAAACAAACTTATTTTGGGGATGGACTTTCCCTTTAAGGTTGTAGGATAACCATGTACTTTTAAGAATGCTATCAGTTGCCTGATGACTGCGTGCAAGGCGCGAAACTCGGAGTAGAAACCATGTCCCATTAGTCTGCCTGCTCTGCCTAGGCATTGACCACTGTTCGGAAGGATATAGCAAAGCATATAAGAGGAAGGGGGAGAGCAGCCGGGTTACCGTGCCCCAGAAGAAGAATACCCCCCCCCCCCCCCGTCTTCCTTCGACAATAATCGAGCAAAAAGTCACATTTTGGGGCCGAAAGGTAAATAAATTTAAACTGGGAAAGTGGAGAATAAAGCAGCGGTGAAATAAAGACTGCAGAATATCCCTCGCTGTTCTTTTTCGATAAGCCTAATATATAACCCGGGTGTAACCATAACAAACTTGTCACATGCTTTTGTTTTTATTTTATACCTCTAACATTTATACCTCTGACATTTTTACCTCTGACATTTTTACCTCTGACATTTTTACCTCTGACATTTTTTCCTCTGACATTTTTACCTCTGACATTTTTACCTCTGACATTTTTACCTCTGACATTTTTACCTCTGACATTTTTTCCTCTGACATTTTTACCTCTGACATTTTTACCTCTGACATTTTTTCCTCTGACATTTTTACCTCTGACATTTTTTCCTCTGACATTTTTACACCGAGCCTGATTTTCACATTCTTTTATCACACCAAAGATGGATGTCGTTGCGACGCGGGCTACTTGCCCCCAGACTGCACAAGGACTTGCCCCAGTGGTTGGTATGGCCAGGACTGTAGCTATCATTGTGACTGCGGTCACGGTGGGTCGTGTGATCCGGTCAGCGGAGAATGTGCTTGTCTTCCAGGCTACACTGGTACAATTTGCCAAGAGAGTAAGTTAGTTCTCTTTTGTAATCCAAGTGGGCCGAGTTACCTTAGTCAAGAAAGACTTCTCACTAATCCACTTTAGTAAATTATGATTGTCCGTAGATTGTTAATTTTTATCATTAGTAGCAGTAGTTGTAGTAGTTGTAGTAGTAGTTTTAGTAGTATTGTTGTTGTTGTTATTATTATTATCATTATTATTATCGTTATTGTTATTTTGAATACAAAATGGGTGCTCACATTGGGAAAATGAAACCGATAAAACGTGTAAATACAATAAGTAAAAAAAAAGAAACTTTTAAAGAAATTGGTAGTTTAATATCTCCTTTTGTATTTGTTTATATGCTGGACGTAGTGCTGGAAATTATATTTTTTGTTTAAAGATTACCTTTGGAAAAAGAAAAAATATTGATTTATTTTTATTTTAAAGTCTAACCTTTTCATATAAGTTTTATTAACAGGGTAAGACAAAACGTAACGTTAAGTATGTTAAGAAAGCCTATTATAAATACAGTGAAACATATGGCGAGACATGTATGAACATTTTAACGACTTGTACTTTGATCATTATTTCAAAAAGTTGAATAGCTAGGATATTGTACATTCTTACATTTATATACAAAGAACGATTTTTGTAATCTCATCCTTTTTCTCATTGCAGCTGGGGAGAGCATTGCCAGCAGAATCATCCTAAATGTAGGACTGGTTTCTGGCAAACATCTCTTGGAGGACCAACTCCCGGTGCTTCTCATCATAGCGGTTGCCGTGGCGATTGTCAGCATCTTCTGCAACTTCATCAGCTTGTGCTTTCGCTACTCCTGCACGTGCACTACCGTGCCGTGTGACAATGGGTACAGCGTCCCAAGGAAACATGTCCACCAAAAAATATCTACTAAACAAATGGATTTATTTGATGAATTTAAATCTAGTACTTAGCCATTGGCGTAGCTTGGGGAGCAAGGATGTCATGCACTAGTCCCCCCCCCCCCCCCATTCTGCATTGTGTACACAGTACTTATTTAAGTGTACTTTGTTGACACTACGCACAGTACTCATGGTATCCTTAGGTCGAAATTATTTAAATTTGGTTTGTAAAACAGATAGGGCGGCCCCCTTAAGGTTTAAAAAAAAAAACAGATCCTCCCCGGCGGTCCGGACTTTGGGAAGCCCTGATTAATGATGACAATATGGTCCTGTTTAGGGTGACGATATGGTCCTGTTTAGGGTGACGGTTTGGTGCTGTTTAGGGTGACGGTTTGGTGCTGTTTAGGGTGACGGTTTGGTGCTGTTTAGGGTGACGATATGGTGCTGTTTAGGGTGACGGTTTGGTGCTGTTTAGGGTGACGATATGGTCCTGTTTAGGGTGACGATATGGTCCTGGTTAGGGTGATAGTTTGGTGCTGTTTAGGGTGACGATATGGTGCTGTTTAGGTGACGATATGGTCCTGTTAGGATGACGATCTATGTTCATTTGCAATCTATGTTCATTAGAAGCAAGACGTAAGCAGTTATGTATAGACTTTGCAAATGCTCTTGTCAAACACCCACAATTTAAAGAATGTTTACCTCTTAGACAACAAAGCACTTATTCTCTAAGATCTCAATCAAAGTTTAAACAATACCAATGTAAAACAAAACGCTTCCAGTGCAGCTCTCTTCCTTACTTTATAAATCTTTTGAATAAAATGTAATACCAATATTTTTAGAATTTCACAGTCCATGATTGAACTATGTGAATGAATTTTGATAGTTTTTATCTCAATTTTCTGCATTACTGAATATTTCTTGCCATCTCCCCTCATCTGTAATGATAAGGTACCCTTTGTCTGTCTCTCCCTCTCTTCAACTCTCTCTCTCTCCTTCTCTCCCTCCCTATCTCTTTCCGTCTTTCTCCCCCGTCCCCCTTTTCTCTCTTTCTCTCTCTTTCTCTCCTTCTCTCTCTTTGTCATCACTCCAACTCTCCCTCTCCTACACCTCTCCCTATCTCTTTCTTTTTTAAACAAAAATTTGAATCTGATCAATGAATTTTTATGAAATGTCTATATGTTTGATTATTGATTTATATCATATTTTGTGTTATTTCAATTTGAATTGCAATTGTATTGTATATAACCTTGTGAAATGGATCGCAATTCACCCATTGGCTGCGATGATCTTTTTAATAAAAACCATTTCTATCTATCTATCGACGATATGGTGCTGTTTAGGGTGACGATATGGTCCTGGTTAGGGTGACGGTTTGGTGCTGTTTAGGGTGACGATATGGTGCTGTTTAGGTGACGATATGATGATGTTTATGTGATGATATGGTACTGTTTAGGGTGACGATATGGTGAGATTTAGGGTGACCTTATTCTGCCCCTACCCCTATTAAATTGACATACAATGTTAGTCAAATTTGTGTGATCTAGGAATAACAGATTTGGTTTTATCTTTCTCACTTGCACTCATTTCATGTATTTCCAGAGCTAATTTAATGCCAAGTACTTATTTATATTGTTTTCATAATACATTAGCATAAGTCGAATCCGTTGGGACCGCAGATAATAGTTCGGCTTATACTACATTGGACTCAGAAATGTAAATACATGTAACATGTTTTGCATACTTTTGTGATTTGACTTCATCTTTTGTAACTTCGTGTTGTGCAATTTGACTGTATATTCCATCTACAATTTCTTTTTTTAATGAGAAGAAACTCAATAGGCAATAGGCCTGTATTGATTATAATTTTAAAACCATAAAGTCACAAATTTGGGGTTTCATTCGTTTCCTGGATGTTTTCAACATTCCTCTGTAAATCTACATTTCAAAAGATGTTGTTCTATTTTCCATGGCCATGCTTATTGTCCATGTTTCCGCTCCATACAATAGGACAGACCATAACAAAACATTTCACTAGTCTTAACCTAAGCGGAACGGTGTCACCTTTCTATTTGTGAATAAGTCTTTCATTGCCAGAAATGGTATAACCCTTATACCAATCTACAGGCCAGGTCTACAGGGCGCTAAATGGTATGAGCGTTATACCAACCTACAGGGCACTAAATTTATACCATTTAGTGCCCTGTAGGTTGATAAAACGTTTATACTACTTAGTGTCCTGTTGTTTGGTATAACAATTATACCATTTGGTGCCCTGTAGGTCGGTATAACGTTTATACAATTTAGTGCCCTGTAGGTCGGTATAATGTTTATACCATTTAGTGCTCAGTTAATAGATGTAGTATTTGTCATATATCATCAATGTTGCTAGATTCGTATGTCTGTTATTTTCTTTTAATTTCTGAAAGTATCATGTCCTTTGTACTGTGCATATTTTTCAATACTGAAAGTCTTGCTTTGCAAATAAAAAGAAAATTACCAAAACAAAATGATTGAAGGTCTGTTCTATTATTCGTGGCTTTTGTAATGCATTAATGATTCATGTGTAATTTATAAATTGATGACTTTGCAATTCATGGACCATGAATTCTGGCTACTGGTATCTTCAACATAAGCTTTGGAGAAAATTAATAGAGACACCCAGAACCTGAAAACTAAACAATTTTGTTGTAAATCTGGATTTCTGCTGTACAGATTAAAAATATTGTTGTTGGGCTACCACATCAAATTACACAAAAAATATGCAAAGCTGCATGGACTTGGTAAACAGGATTGATATAAGCCCATTAAAGATATTACAGTGAGAGAAAACACTCCAATACGCATTGCAATGGCAATGAAAATATATATTTCTTTTCCACATTCTCAAGCCACAAATTCCAAATTTCAACCTTGGACCAAACATCAGACCTACCCCTAACCCTGCACCCACCCCCGGGAGCGCGCTTCGCCTGCTCACTACCGCCCCCTAAAATAAAATCCTGGCTACGCGCTTGAGAGGATAATAACCCAGGTAGCAAGCCCATATGGGACCCACATGGGTCCCATATTCTCTGAAATGTTATCTTTATTGAGGGTGACTTTAAAAAGTTAATAGTTGGTAGGGAGGGGGTGCAACCTGCCATACGCTTCTACCTCTTGGTTGCTTTGATCCATTGTCGAAAATATTTTGGCACCTGTCACCCCCCCCCCCCCCCCCCCCCAACCACGGATACAAATCGACACCCTTGATGGCCTTGCTTATTGTCCATGTTTCTGCTCCATACAATAGGACAGAACAGACATAACAGTTTACTGGTCTGAGCCTAAGTGCAAAGTTCACCTTTCTATCTGTGAATAAGTCTTTCATTGCCAGAAATGTATTCCGAGCTGTTTCTATTATTTAGTATACGAAGCTACAGAGCGCTAAATGGTAAAAACGTTATACCTAGGCCTACAGGGCACTAAATGGTTTCTGCTCCATACAATAGGACAGACCAGACATAAGAGTTTACTAGTCTGAGCCTAAGCGCAAAGTTCACCTTTCTATCTGTGAATAAGTCTTTCATTGCCAGATATGTATTCCGAGCTGTTTCTATTATTTAGTATACAAAGCTACAGAGCGCTAAATGGTATAAACGTTATACCTACAGGGCGCTAAATGGTATAAAATTTATACCAATCTGAAGGGCACTAAATAGTACAAGCTTTATACCAACCTACAGGGTACTAAATTTATACAATTTAGTACCCTGTAGGTTGGCATAACGTTTATACCATTTAGTACCCTGTACATTGGTATAACGCCTATACCATTTAGTACCCTGTACATTGGTATAACGTTTACACCATTTAGTGCTCAGTCTGTAGATGTAGCATTTAACTATTTCCCATCAATGTTGCTATAATAATAAGATTATTGTAAAAAAAAAAAAAAAAATGGGGGGGGGGGGGAGGGTGTATTTCTGAAATTATCATGACTTTTGTACTATGCATATTTTTCAATACTGAACGTCTCGCTTTACAAATAAAATGAAATTACCAAAACATAATTATTGAAAGCATGTTTTATTATTCACGGCCTTTGTAATGCACCAACAATGCATGTGTAATTTATAGATTGATGGTTTTGCAATTCATGAACTATTTTTAAGTTTAGTCAGAACCATCATTAAAAGGATAACGATAAATGTGTAATTAATTCTGGTTACTGGTATCTTCAACATTAGCCTTGAAGAAAATTATAAGAGAAACACAGAACCTGAAAACTAAACAATTTTGGGGTAAATCTGGAATTCTGCTGTACAGATTGAAATAATTTGTTGTTCGGCTACCACATCAAATTACACACAAAAATATGCAAAGCTGCATGGACTTGGTCAGCAGGGTCGAAATTGAGAGAAAACACTCCAATACGCATTGCAATGGCAATGAAATGAAAATAGATTTTCTTTCCACATCCTCAAGCCACAAATTCCAACCTTGGGACCAAACATCAGAGCTACCCCTAACTCTAAACCCAACCTAAAACATGTACATAATTACGATAATTACGGCAGTAGGATGCTCTGGAATGCCGTTTCAGTATTTCAAAATCTTTTTGCTCTCTCGAAGATTATTATAATCATTATCATCAACATCATCACCTCATATTAAGAATATAAAGGACTAGGGAATACAAATTTCAAAACAGTACCTATAGAGGGTCAGTGATTCGAAGGGAGTGAGGGATGACTCTCCCTGGAAAATCTGTGAAAGGAGTCGTCTCGAATCGGAAACCACCTTCCTTATGTTGGATAGTTTTCTGAAAACAATTTTAGCAAGCTTTTGGAATCCAAGAGGATTTTTTTTTTAAGGAAGCATTGATAAATAGTGAATAAAAAAATAAATTGGTCTCTTGGTCCAAACCTTTCTCAAACGTCCAAGATGAACAAATTTGACTGTCATTAATGGGCAAATTTACCTCTTGATTGAAGTAAATACTTTAATGTTGCCTTGCAATGTAAGTACATGTTCAGTGGAGTGGAAGATGCAAGTTTTAAAGCTTATCTGTACTAGTTTTAGTAGTTTATAGGAAAGATTAGACCGCCCTGCAAGGTCACTGGACTGGTGGTTATCTCATCAACTCAGCTCCTAATTAACATAAGAAAAAGAGGATCATGGGGGGGGGGGGGCAATGGTCACCGATTAGGCATTGTTTTATATATATAGAGGGAGCAAGTAGCTACAAGTAGGGCAGTGGGGCTTTAATACTGAATGCCTCATCAATCGAGAAGTTTAGATACTGGCCCTAGTGCGATTACTTTCTTTAAAGATTCTCCATTGGGTCACAAACAAACACATTTTGATCACTAATAAGTAATAACTGCAAATAGAAAATGTTTCACCAGTAGTAATCACATTTATTTTTCACTGCAATGGAAGTAGGCAAATTACAATGAAATCATCTTTCATCATAGATTTGAACATGTTTTTCACAATTATATTTTCAAAACAGACCTTTTTCATAACGTATTGCAATGTAAGGAAGTCTACTCTGTCAACCTAATTGTGACAGGCATGTTTCATAGAACTTGTCATCAGTGACAAATGACAGCTTTTGTTAAAAGCTAGTGAAATCCTCGCTTCTGATTGGTTATCAGCAGACTTGTCACTGATTTTTGTCATTTGTTATTGAAAAAAGGCTCTGTGAAACTGGTCCCTGGACATGCTTTTGAGCTGGGCTTGCCAAATGGAGCTAGCCCCTTCGGAAAGTGCAACAATTTGAATACATTATGATACTGATCTCATCAATCAACATACAAAATATGACTTTTAAAAGTTCAAAAGGTATTATCAACAAGGGGTACAAAAACACGACATGAAATACCAGCATGTGAATTATTATGGTTCGACTAAATAATGTATTATATGAATGAGGAATTAATGTGTGAGAAGCCGGCTCAATTTGATGCACAACTAAAAACCCCAGTCCTACTACAAGACCGGCAACCAGACTGAACACAAACTTGACATTACCTCGAATGGAAAAGACTTGGTCTAGCTATAATCAGTGTGGAATCAGTAAGGCTAGGTGACAAATTTACAGCATTGTGCTAAACGGATTGTCATTGTCATTGATCAATAAGTGTCATTTGTCCACGATACAGATATAGCTACTACAAATATCCTAGGATTTGGTGCAGGCGAGGATGTGCTTTACACTTGCCTCAATGGCAAATAAAGTACAATGGAAACTTGATATGAAGAGCTCTGATAATGAGGCATCTGTTACAACAAGGTCATTTGGCTGGTCCCAGCTCTATATTATCTGTTTTTTTACCCCGATATAACAAGGTATTATCCATGGTCCCAAGGACCTCGTTATAACGACTTTCCACGGTACGTGTATTTCAAACAAGTAGCACATACATGTCAGATATGATGAGGATGTAAGCAAAACAATAATTTATCATCAAATAGAGAACACTTCTTAAATATATTGAAGTTAATGATGTACAGTATTTTAAAAGTAACGAAAATGATATATTCATTAAAAACAATATCATTTACCCTATTCATACAGAAATTAAAGTCTTTAATCTTTTGGTACTCAGAACAATCAAGACATACAAAATACTCCCCCTCCCCCCTGTAATAAATATTCAACATTATCCTTACACAATTAGAAATTATATATGTACCCTCTGCTGAGAGCCTGCAGGGTATCTTTCAAACAAACAGAAAAATGATTTGAGTTTATGCCCTTCTGCACACAAAAAGACTCAATAATTGTAAGTATGTATTCTTCAAAACTCATTAGCCTTGACATCATAACCCCTATTCCATTTGATAGCAGCATGTTGCCAATAATACTAGTAACAGTTCATAAAGACAGTAGGTAATGATCATCTCAAACTGTTATGTACACACAAATGCCTTTTTGTACTAATTGTATTTCTAATACTGGTCCATATGACAAAAGGATATAAACAAAGCTTCATTTAAGAATCCTATATAATTGACCAATAAGCACATGGTTATACAGCTTACAGGATGCTTCGTACACACGACTCTACAAATCTGTAGCCAATAGAACAGTCACACTTCCGCATAAATATCCTTTTTTCAGATACAACATCACTCTTTATATCTTCTTCTTGCTGTACATAATTCTTTTCTCAAGAACTTACCAGTCATTAGGGCAATTTGAACCTTATCAAGAGCGTAACATCTGTATTCGCATGGGTATACAATATCAAAACATGTAGATGCACCTATTAGTTATATATCTTAGAATCTATACACGACATGGACATCTTAGTTTTCTTTCTTCTCTTGGTCTTTACTGCTTGAATCTGAGGTTGAATCTGAACTTGAATCCGAGGTTGAATCTGAGGTTGTATCTGAGCTGGACCCACCTGATGATTCACGCTCCGATGCCATCTACAAATAAAGATTATGAACAGAAATTTTTTTAAGCCAGGAGTCTACTTTGCCATTTATTTTCAGACAGTGAGCGTCTGATGATCACCTTCATCACACCTAAGACACCAAGTGTGAATATTGAATATTTTTCTTTATATATTATGTATACTCATAATATATATGAAATCATGTTTCAATTGACATGTTAAAGCATTATCTAAAAGCGTTTCATACAATTACAACCATGCATACATAACTCAGCAAAGTTCCCTAGGCCAAAATTTATAGACTTTTTCAATGGATAGGGATGCCAAGTTTCTGGCATTGGCCAGACTTAAGGCTCTAAAATGTATGGGTTTCTAAATGAATGTAACAACCTAGTACCTGTATCAATTTAAAACTTCACAAAAGTAACAAGCAGGAAGACACTGCTATCAAATGCACTAGGTTAGATAGGAGGAATTTTCTGAAGATTAAATAGATTAAAGCTTCTAACAGTTTGATAAAGGTTTCCATACCAAACAAGATACAAAATGGCCATTCTTCCTCAGGAGATGCATACAAAATAATTTATCTCAAACAAAGTCATACGCCAGAAAACAAAGGTTAAAGACATCATGAAGTCAGAGAATCAAAGTGGAGATGGGCTTGGGCTTGGGCTTGGGCATGTAGCAAGACTTCAGGACAATAGATGGACAAATCGTTTAACAGAATGGAAACCAAGGATGGGAAAGAGAAGAAGAGGAAGGCAGAAGAGAAGATGGAGAGATGACCTACATGGGAATGGCCGCTTAGACTAGGATAGCTACAGACAGAAGAAAATGAAAATGTTATGAGGAGGGCTTTGTCCAACGTCTGGATGAACTATAGCCTGATAGATAGAATACAGCTTAAGGCTAACAACTCCAAAGTTGTCTGCTCTTCATCCTACCCCTTTCCTCAACAAACACCAACACCAACCCCATCATCCACTCACCTTCTTATAAGCCATCTCAAAGAGCTTGAGCGATGCTTGCTGCAGAGCTGACGATGCTTCCCTGATGTCTTCAGGGCTCTTGTTGTCCTTGTCGGCCAGGACGTCCTTGACCGTGGTGATCTGTTCCTTCAGCTTGGCACACTCCTCCTCGGGCAACTGCTCCTTGAACTCCTCCATCTTGGTCTCTGTGTCATGGACGATGTTCTCCGCAGAGTTGACGATCTCGACACGCTCCTGCGAGACGTCAAAGACAAGAGATTAAAGTTAGTTAACTTCTTCTTTTTTCATGATTTATTAACCATTACCCCAAGCTTTGTGCTCCTTTATCACGAAGGGAATCAGAAAATATAATTTCTTACGCAAATGTACACCCTGGCATGTCACAAATGTTTTTTACAAACACAAACACAAACCATAATGCATCCAGTTGCAATATACCACTCCTAAAATTTCTGAACAACAAAAACAGATATAAATCACTGCACACCGTACATTTACTATAAAATGAAACAATTTATCTATTATATTCACCATGGTGAACACAATTTAATTTCTCTCATCGTCTTTAAAGCCCTTGTCTTTTCATACATGGCATCATGCTCAGTATAAGGTTTCTCCACATACCTCAAGAGGGTAATGCGGTTGACGAAAAATTTGAACATCATCGCATGATAAAATCAAAATAACTACATGTATCGACTACATGGACTACAGAGATCTCTTAGAAAATAAATTATTGTATCCAACATTTGCTCTGGCAACAATAGCTCCAGGCTTTTTCTATCAAAGATACTTTGTCTTAGTTAGGATTAGGATTGCAAATGGGTTAAAGATATAGGCCCGTTTGTCGACAAACCTCCTTTGTGAATTCCGGCCATTGTGTGTGGTTCAGGGTTGAAGTTGAGAGTTCGGTTAGGCAACCGTCAAAGTAGCATGTGTCATACAGCCATTGTACCAGATTAAGATTAGAATATTAAATGGAAAATGCATCTCAGTATCTGAAGGAAATGAAAGATCTTTTGAACGCACCTTCTTGATCTTGTCCTCAGCAGCGAACTTCTCTGCAGCTCTGACCATGTTCTCGATCTCATCGTTGCTAAGACCACCCGATGACTGGATCACAACTATGTAGGAGAGATGGGAAGACAGCAATCTTTAAAGTGATTTGGATTTTAAGGTTTAGTTCGGGTCAGAAAGTTAAAACCCTGATCATATGTGCATTCAAATACACATAGGCAAAATGAAAGTGAATTCAACAATTTGGAATAAAATACCAAGAAATAGTACAATTGTCAATACTGACCATGTCACCATTATCTAGTTCATAAATGTAATTAAATTCAAATATCAGGATTGTGGATCAGAATTCTTTGTAATGAAACACTAATTTCCTTTGGCAAGACATTGATCTACATTTGCCACACTCAACCCAGGTGATGTAAATGGGTACCTTGCAGGAATTAATTCCTTGAAATGATAAGAGCGCCGAAATGATTAAGCCATGAGTATGTGGAGGAAGGGTAACTGAAAGGCACCTTGCATTGTACACTAGACATATTTTCAATTGCTATTGTACTGTACTAGCAGCAAAAAAACAAACTTAAAGATCCTCCATATTCTAATACTGAATCTGTCTTGCTGCTCATGTTTGAGCCCAGAAAAACATATTTTAGTATGTCTCACAAATGACATCACCATGATAGATACAGGTAATCTAAACATGTAATGATAATCACATAGAGTTACTCTAGCATGGCTTGCTGGCCCCACAGGCCACAGTACAGTCAGGTGGGGAATTCCGATTACCATGCACAAACAATTTTAAAGGTTTGCAAGTAGGACATTTTAACCACGGACCTCAACCCGACTAAATTTTTACCAGCCAGGTGATGACACGCGATATTCAAAGAACAATTAAACAAATCACACATTTAATTATTCTACTGGGTATTTTAAGTTTTACAATCTCTGAATTTAAGAAATTGGACTTGAACTTTGAAGCAAGTTCATGGGAGCAATAAAATTGTAATATATATGTTCAAATGAAAAATCAGGACAAATTTAGATAAACAAAGCTCACATCAGAAGAGAACTTTTCATTAGGACCAAAGTTATATGATTGCTAAATATCTATCTTGGAAGATATTGTATAATGTATAATTCTACATCAAATCTGCTTGTTTTACAAGCATGAAAAAACTAGATGGATGTTCGACTGCACGCTGTCGATTTCACAAACCAGAAAAGAAGCAATTTTTGAAATTGAAGTTTGATTGTAATCCATTAACAGGTTCACAGACACGATTACAAGCGATTTGTAAAATACATGGAAGAACCTTTGACCTCATGACCCTAAAATTTAATAAGTTTATTGGCTCTGCAAGGTACATACATATCCCTAGTTTGATAGTAATCCATCTGTCAGTTCTTGAGATAACGCGATCACGAGAACGGGACGTTAAGCCATACAACCAGAAAACATAACGACTCTGGCTAATTTGTAGCGGAGGCATAAAAAAGGGTCTCACAAATATGCTTGAATATGACACAGTTACTCGATATGGTAGGTTTTATAGGGACAAACTTTCCAATATAGCAATGATATGCATTAAAAGTTGACACAATGTAATCCAAGATGCGACTTACTTTGTTGTTCCTTTCCAGTTCCCTTGTCCCTGGCAGATACATTCACAATACCGTTAGCATCGATGTCAAAGGTCACTTCGATCTGAGGAACTCCACGTGGTGCTGGAGGGATACCAATCTGGACAAAAGAAGAGTATACAATGCATGGGTCAATCACTAAGTCACTTCAGAGATGACACCTGCGCAGGGAAGATACAGGCCATCTGTACAAAACTGTACTACCCATTGAGACAACTGCTGGTTATGTTTTCATGAAACTTATGTAATCAATGTGTATTTATGCACCGGCAGTACATTCTATGATACACAGGGTGAAGTATTCTTTTCAAGAAGGAAAACAAAAGGTATTCATGATGCAAAACCATCACTTTGGCAGGGATTATTTGTGGGATGTCTCCATATGTACAAGATCTGTGGATATTTGGGGGTCATTTGTACTAGTGCTCTCTTTGAAGTGGCTTATTATTATGGGGCCTCGTACCACACTGAACAGTGGTACAGAGGAATCCAGGTAAAATATGCTACATGATATGGGCCTTTACTGCAATGAGTTACCATTTTCCACCCCCTCCTGTTATTCAGTTGCTCGTAAAATGTTTATATTCAGCAGTGGTGGTTTTCTTCTAAGGCAATTTTACTTGCCAAAGCTGACCAAGGCTGTAAATTATGCATCCAGTCACTTACCAGTTGGAACTGTCCAAGTGTCTTGTTATCTCCAGCCATCTCCCTCTCTCCCTGACATACTTTGATCTCGACCTGCGTCTGACCATCAGCTGCTGTGGAGAATACCTGCAAATACAGAACACAACATGAACGATGACATCATCAAGACAGAGTGGCCCGATGTATGCTAATAATAATAACAATATGTCTTGTTTACCCAGGGTAGCCTCGTTCAGCTTTAGCCAAGCTACCATGTATGGCGCTCAAGCATTCAATGAATTTCTTCCTACCGGGTACCCATTTACCTCACCTGGGTGGAGTGTGGCAAAGGTAGACTAATAATATCTTGCCAAAAGACATTAGTGCTCTGAAGATATTTGCTCTGGGCCTTATTTCATTAAGAACTAAATGATGTCAGAGTTGCATCAGGTTTGAGGTTAGGTTTGAGGTTAGGTTTGAGGTATAAGGGTTAGGTAGGGCCTTTGATCTGAAGTTGAAGTTAGCAATTAGTTTAGCTTTGGAAAATGGCGTGATAGCAATTGCCAGCGGAGCATGTGTTGAAGAAATGGCAAAGACTATTCGAGAAGTTGTCCTCAAATTCTCATCTTCAGTCTACCATGGCCCAAAATGACAATCATGGAAAAAATTGTGATCTTATTGCATCGTCAGTCATGCTCAGAAAATGATTTCTCCACATACCTCAAGTGGTAATGCGGTTGACGAAAAATTTGTACATATACCATCATCGCATGACTGCACAATATGAACGATCAGAAGTTAGCATTGTGAAGTTTATTTTGATCAGTATTTCATTTCATGATTAAGTGGAGGTTCCTTGTTTGGAATGGTTATTTTACAAGATAGGGATATGTGAAAAAACCTTTTTCAAGAAACATTTCTTTTATATTGTTGAAAACTAACATAAAACAATGAAGGGAGCTTACACACTCTTTTTCACATTTACCAGAACTGGGGGGTGTTTCACAAAGATTTTAAGTCGAACTTAACTCTAAGTTGGACTTACAAATTATGAAGACCCATTTGTAGCCTTAGAATACGATACATTCAAAAGCAAATATTCAAGTATTTCAGACTTTTCATAAATTCCACATCAAGAACATGAAATCTCCCATGAAAATAGAAAATAAGAATGATTTGAATCAACATTTTATGCCTTTAAAAATGACTTTTACATACTATTTTCGAAGACGCTAATGGCTTTCCATAATTGTTTAGTCCAACTTAAGATCTTTGTGAAACACCCCCCAGGACCTTCTCTTACATGATTCTGCTGAAGTCACTCACCTGTGCTTTCTTGGTGGGGATGGTGGTGTTCCTGTTGATAAGCTTGGTGAAGACTCCTCCGAGGGTCTCAATACCAAGGGAAAGGGGCGAGACGTCCAAGAGGAGAACATCGGTGACATCACCAGCAAGGACTCCGCCCTGGATAGCGGCTCCTACAGCGACAGCTTCGTCAGGGTTGACAGACTTACTGGGCTGACGTCCAAACAACTCCTGGACTAGCGTTTGAACCTATTATGACCAAAATATGATTTTGGTTGGTTAGGTCAAAGATGATTATAGCCAGCATAAGGCCAAGATGCAATTGAATTAAAAATCAGAAATTACATGAAATTGGTAGCGCCACTCTGACTTTCGCTTTTTCAAATAACACAAAAGATTACCAAAATATGCCTTTCAGTTTATAATTGGATTTGTTAGTATCTAAAATCATCTGAAATGCGGTATACCATCCACTGCATTTGACATATGTCAGTGGTCAAGTCTTGATCTCAATTACTGTATTGAATAGTGCAGTAAACGTATGTTTTGAAGGGGTAAAGAACAGATAATCTAAAATCTAAACGATTATTCGCTTGTAAAGTAAGTTGTAACAGAAAATCCAATTAAAAAGACATTGCTTTAAATAGTTTCTGCCTCAATGAAGGGCAATCTAACAAAATAATCAAATATATTGGGTCCCGTCGATTACGAATCTTGTCACCCAAATCTGCAATGGTGTAACAAGTCGCTACAATCAGGAAGAATGGTCATTTGCTCAATCCCTGCACCCATGGAAGAGAGGACAAGAGGAGACCACAACATCTATAGTTTGTGTATCAGCAAAGGATTGAGAGTACATATTGTAAAGAATAAAAAGGTATGTTTCAGAAGTGAAAGGTAGGGTGGTAATTGAAGAATTTTTAGCGACGAGGTCAGATTCATACCTTTGGCATCCTGGACATTCCACCGACGAGCAGAACCTCCTTGATATCCGACTTGTTGATCTCAGCATCTTGAATGGCCTTCTTACATGGCTCCACGGTCCTCTTGATCAAGTGCTCTGTCAGGGATTCAAACTTGGCTCTGGACAGCTTCAGGTTCATGTGCTTAGGTCCAGACTGGTCCATGGTCAGGTAGGGTAGATTGATGTCCGTCTAAGGATTAACAAGAAAAGATAAACGGTTAAAGATAGCTTAAAGGTATAGACCAGTTTTGGAAACGCCCCCTCTCAAAAAATGAAATGGAAGCTCTTAATACCAATCATGTGAAAGAATATGTTTTGACTTATTCGTGATGATACAAATTGTGCAGGGAAACCGCCTACTAATTGATATATTTGGTAAATTATCAAAATCGATCCGGCCTGGTATCGCAAATGCACTTCAACATTGAAAATTTGGGCATATATTTCTGCTTTTTTGCAAATTTAGGTTGAAGTATTGCCATCTAAACCTCTGAAGGAAAAATTTAAATAATATTGAATGGATATTTTGCACCCGAAACCCTTGAACCGGAATTTTTCCACTACCAGTCTATATCTTTAACATTGTTTGTTGCTTTTTTTTTTTTCTGACCAATACATGTACCTTAGACATGCCTATATACATGCATATAATTGAAACAAATCAGCAAGTACCAAACAAAAAGCTTGAAAAGAGACATTCAGCTTTTAAGTATCTTCTTTACACAAACTTGAGAAAAGAAAATGGTCATAATTACATATATTTTCATATATTTTACATAAATGCCAAACTACTTTAGTGCAACAGATTATTGTGCTGCAGTTTTACGTTGAAGATTAATCTGTAATTGTCTCTTCATTCAGTTCCTACTTAAAAACATGAAAACAACTTACCTGAAGAGCGCTTGAGAGTTCGATCTTGGCTTTCTCTGCTGCTTCTCTCACCCTCTGTAATGCCATGGTGTCTTTGGTCACATCAATGCCAGACTAATTAAACAAACAAAATTTTTGTGTAAATCATCCATACACACTGATTTCAAAATTAAATAACGATCTCATAGCTTTTACTAATGATGAATCATTACTTTTAAAATGCTAAAACGGTTTCATCAGTTTGAGGAGGATTTATCCTAATCAATAAGTTGTCTTATTGTTCATGCAGAGTAAGACAATTTCAAGATGGATGGGACAATGCCCTGATAACTACAGAATGATGTAACGATTACAGCAAGAAGTTGGCTGTTTGTCGAATGGAACGAAGTGTAACCACATGCATTTCAGATGCTAAGAATCTTTTTTTCTTTCTGAAGAAAATAATGGAGAAAGGATGATATACAGGATGGACAAACACAAATATTGAAACAAATGACAAGGGCAAGTGCATCATCAAAAGTGGTTTTTATGAAGTACCAATACACAAATGAAGAGTTAAATTCCAAAAGGAGCTAAATCAATTTTTGTCACTTCTGAGAAGAAAAAAAATTGATCACCAGATTTTGTACAGGCATCTATGGAAAGTGATATTAGAAGGTGCATTTTTTTCATAATTGCTCCCCAAATTTAGGTAAATAATTATATTGAAAGACGGGTTCTTAAGTGAACAATGTTCTGATATCAATAACTTAATTTTCATCAAAAGTGGATTTAGCTCTTTTTGGAATTAAGCTCTTCAAATACTGAAAACAAATACTCACATCTTTCTTGAACTCTCCGACAAGGAAGTTGACAAGTGTATTGTCAAAGTCCTCTCCTCCAAGGAATGTATCTCCGTTGGTTGATTTCACTTCAAATACTCCCTTCTGGATCTCAAGAACCGACACATCAAAGGTTCCGCCACCAAGATCGTAAACAACGATGCTGCATTGAGGATTGAGGAAAGAGTGAAAATTGGTTTTGTCATTAAATTCTTGCCCATTCTTACAATGAATCACTTCCTAGACATATCTTAAATCAAGCTCATTACAACCGAGTTGGCAACAATTATTAAGTTACTAATAATGCTCTGGCAAATTTAAATTTAAAGTGGAAGTGATTGAAATATCAGATCATCACAATAGAGCCTGGTTACTTTGCTATATAATGTCATTCTGCGTGCCATTTCCCTGGATCCTCAACTTCCCTAATTACATAGAATCTACTGTAATACTTTTGTTTATCCACTCAACAAAATGTTTGCGACTAACTTTGCATTCATAAATTACTTTAGGTGAAATTTAGGTAATTGGGAGAGCATTTCATGCATTATTCATTATGCATGATCGGTGCAAATTCAAGAAACAACTCTAGTAACAAAAAAAAAAAAAATTAAACAAAATATTTTTGAAGATTTAGTCATATCTTAGTCACACATGTTTTCAAGACAAAAATCAGACATTTCACTATCCCAAATGGCCAAAATTCAGACTAGTATGGGATCGCTTTGGAGTAGGACAAACCATGGTCTGAAACGCATCAAAACGCTTCATATGACGCATCAAAACGCTTCATATGACGCACATAAACCTAGGTTTGTCTACAAACCTCCTTTGTGAATTCGGGCCACTAGGTCTGCCTCTCCAATCAAGTTTTAAGACCACTCAACTACAACACGATTCCCAGCTAATGGTTAACTGGTACTTACACACTGTCTCCTGATTTGTCCATTCCGTAGGCAAGGGCTGCAGCAGTGGGTTCATTGATAACTCTCAATACATTCAATCCAGAAATCTGACCTGCATCTTTAGTTGCCTGAAATATATACATACAAACATAAACAATTTGTTTTATTACCAAACATTTCATCACATGTTTTTAAAAATGAAAGTATACAATTCCCATGTCAAGAACCCCTCTATACAAGTAGAGTTTGGAACCAAAAGTACTTTTAAAACTTTTTGGAAAACACGTAAATCAGTGGTAATAGTACCAAAAATGAACTTGTTTTTATCGTTTTCCTCCAGACTTTTTTTGGCAAACCCAAACTGACAGAAATGGTAGCATTTACACTCAGTGCGAAAAGATGGATTGGTCTCACTTGGCCTTTATTTCTTTGTTGCCTTGGTGTCTACACATAAGGATTGAACACCCAATCTCATGTCAAAAACAATAACTCACCCAAGACCCATCTACAACCAACCATGTTTCAAACATAAATGCATGGTGCGTTAAATCTCCATCAGGCAAAGTTCAATTCAAGTTAGCCATGACTTTGTGAGATTGCCGATACTGACCTGTCTTTGTGAGTCATTGAAATAAGCTGGTACTGTGACGACTGCATTCTTGGCTGGTGTCCCCAGGTAGTTCTCTGCCGTTTCCTTCATCTTGGTAAGGACAAACGCACCCACTTGACTGGGAGAGTAGACCTTTTCATTGGCCTTCACCCAAGCATCGCCATTTGAAGCCTTGACGATTTTATATGATACCGTTCCACTGCACAGAGGGAGAGAAGGGGGGGGGGGGAGAAGGAAAATGGTTTTATTTGGTGGAAACTTCTCTAAATTTTGGTCACACTGCCAAACCAATTCCCAGTCGACTCTAAACCCAACTGATTCTCGACCATTTAGGTAATGCAGAGCTGCCAACCTTGTGCGACCAAAATAAGGAATCATGATGGCAAAAAAAAGGAATTTCAAGCCAAAAAAAGGAATTCATAAAAACGAAAGTTACAACCACGCGCGACACACTTCCAATGCAGAAATGTTCATTCATTATGCTGTTTTTTCCATACAAGGAGGAATTTTTTTGGTATTATCGGCATTTCATTCTTTTTGAGAATATTTTTCTTTTCAAGTATGTTTTAAATTTAGTTTTCTATTGAATTTGTGATCAAATCACCATTTTAGGGCAGTTGTTTGACGTGCTGTATGTAAAAAAAAATAAAATAAAATAAAAAAATTTTAAAAATTAAAAAACGTATTTTATGAAGAAAAAACGTAATGCCGTAATTTGGAGGGAAAAACGGAGTAATTCCGGCAAAAACGGAATGGTTGGCAGCTCTGGTAATATTATGTTATGTTCAGTCTAGTGTTGGTCTGGTGTTGGCCATGGTCTGGCCATGGTCTGGCCAGTGTTACGGAGGTGTGGAAGAAGAAGTTCATATCTTATCTTAACGTGCATGCAAAAATAGGATGATCTGTTATTTTGGAGAAAAAAATTACTCTAGACTTGTGAGGAATCTAAAAGTGGTCAGTGTAATAAGAGTACAATGGTAAGCTGAGAAAAGTAGTTCACTGAGTTTCTTTGATTCTGTACAATACATTTAATTTCAATAATTAGTTTTTAGGAGCTAAAGAACTGTAATCCTTTTTTATAAGCATGATCCCCTCTCAAACATCTTTTTAAAACAACTTTTAAGTAATCATTTACAATGAGCTACCTCTGTACAAGTACATCTAACATCTATATTGTGAGTAAGAAAACTAACAACAGCTGTTTTAACTATTACAGTATAAGCTTATCTTTCTGCCATATCTTGTCCAATTTTGTTTGTATCTCATGACAAAGATACATATTTGTATTGATTGATCATCTTCATTATGATTTGTCTCATTACCTATAACATTTTCCCCCTCTCTTTTTTTGGTGATTAATATTACATTAAAGGCCCACTGCACTACTTGTAGCTACTTGCGCCCTCTATACAACAAACAATGCCTAATCGGTGACCATTGGTCCCCCATGATCCTCTTTTTCTTATGTTAACTGAGAGCTGAGTTGATGAGATAACCACCTGTTCAGTGACCTTGCAGGGCGGTCTAATCCCTCCTGTAAACTATGGCAGATAAGCTTTAAGTTAACATGTTCTGCACTTGACTTGCTCTGTTAATAACACGTTTGATCTAATGCTTTCTCACTGTAATTATCTGTTTCCTCACTTTCCTGCCTAACAAAGACAGGTCCATGAGCCCCATTTCCCCAACTTACATGTCTTTCTGTGTTTCAGGATCGTCGAATCTCCTTCCAATTAGACGTTTTGTGGCATAAAGAGTGTTCTCTGCATTCGTGACAGCCTGCCTCTTGGCTGGCATACCAACTAGTCTCTCATTATCCTTTGTAAATGCCACCACAGAGGGCGTCGTTCGGGCTCCTTCTGCATTCTCCAGTACCTTTGGTGTTTTACCCTCCATGATTGCAACGCAGGAGTTTGTGGTTCCCAGATCTATACCAATGACGGCTCCCCGGACTGTTTCTGATGCGTAACATCTTGATGGGTGCCTCTGATGATGTCTGGCGTCTGAGTTTAATACACTGCATGTGCTCTAAAGTTAAGATAAAGTATAGATTATGATTAAAATTGAGTCTCATATTTTCTTCTCTGACTAAAGCAATTCTACAGTTAAGCCAAGATTTTATTTTTGAAAACATTTATTTTCATTATGCAAATTGTAGTTACCACTTACATTTTGATCATGATTAAAAAGATGGCACAACCATGAAGATGCCGCCTACAAAGTACAAGGATGGACACAAATATATGTGGGGTGCTCCATACAATTACAAATTTGACGAAATTTGCATCATTATGATTATACATCTTTAAATTTACCTCAGTCTATTAAAGCACCAACATGAACAATGTACGAGCTATATAGATTGATTATTACATGGAAATATGTAAATATAAATGCATGTACATGTACATGCACTGACCTGAGAATAAACTACTGAAAAGAATGTACAAAAAAGATAAGAAAAATGAATTAAGAGATGCATGGTTTGATGAGTAGGGGCGCTGGTCCGAGAATGAGGATCATCCGCATAAACGAAGATATCGTCATAAACGTGGACAAAGTGTGTCCTAAAAAATAAGGATCATCTTTCGGCGCTCTGCGGGTGTCGGGTTCCCAAAACATTCTGGCATTGCAAAAAACATATTCCGCATAATAAAATACCCCCAATTCACGTCTACTTTTATGGGTTGTCCGTCTTCCCCGAGGATTTGTTGCTGATAACGTGAAAGTCTCTGTACAAAGTGAAAGTCAATGTGGAATGTATCAAGGAGCATCATCGCGGAATCTGTTTTTCGCATCGCCAATGCGCAGATCAGAAATCAGAATCGTCCGCAAAAATGCGGCAAGCCTTATTTTTCAGGGCGCATAGAGTCTAGACCTGTCCGCGTTTACGAAGATCCTCGTTTATGTGGACGATCCTTATTATTCTCTGACCTAGTGCCCCTACCATGCCTACTGCTGATCATGTTTTTTATTTCATGTAACTTAGTACATGTATAGGGATTGATATCGTGATAACCGATACCGATACCGATATGATCGGGAGAGGGATCGGGAGAGGAGAAAATGGACGATTGTCTGTAAGATTCCGATTGTTGTTTCTAAGGCCGTTGTCGCCTAATAAAGGTGTTTTGACCCAATTCCTGTCTGAGATCTAATCCTTCCTGTCTGTACATAGTGAACCCCCTTATACTGGCGTAATCGGCAGGGATTCTTTGTGCTATGGCTTTTTTGGAAATCTAAGGATTGGGTGAGAAATTAATTGACACGGTTGTTTCATGCAGTGTGTGACTGTTGCCCCACTTATTGTGCAGGCCTATAGGCCTACTAGTGCTTGTTGATTTAGCAGTAGATCTAGGGTCTAGATCTAGTCTAGACTCTACAGATAGACTAATCAAAGTTAAGGTAGCTATTAAACAAGTAGTCTAGTATTGAAGTAACATTAAAAATGAAATAGAAAAATAAATAAATACATAGGGTCTAGACTACACTAAATAAATAAAAGTTTGATTAAAATAGTAGATAGAAGTCTAGACCACTCTCACTAACCATACACCATACACTAAAACACACACGTTCAATAGGTCACTAAATTAAATTTAAACTAGATCTAGACTAGTCTAGTATAATATTCAGTGCTCAATAAAAGATAAAATCAACCATGACAGACCGATCAGCATATCTCGGCAGATTTACAGCTGAGCACATAGCACACTTGTGTGAATTGAATCATATTGATACCAATGCTGTAAAGACCAAGCAAGAGCGGATCTCATGTTTATGTGATTTGCCTAAGCTGGTAGAGGATGAACCAAAAAATACAGGTGTGGGTGTGGATGACCTTTTGCGGGTCATGAAGCACCTTGAAGATTCTCATCATCATGAGACTGAGAAACTATGCAAATCCTTACTGTCTGCTGCAATCGGTAGCTCTGCACAAACTGGTCCTCCGTTAAAGGGATTACATCAGCTAAGTAACGATGATGATATGGTGTGCTACCTTAGCACTTTTGAGCGACTAGCCCTGGCAGCAAACAAGCCAAAGAGTGAATGGCCTCGGCTGTTAGAACCATATCTTACTGGAAGAGCTCAGCAGGCATTCCACGCCCTGAGTACAAGAGAACAAAACAACTATGATGATGTTGTCCTGGCCATAAAGAGAAGGTACCACCTCACTCCGGAGGCATACAGAATAAAGTTAAAAAAAGAACATAAGAAGAGCAATGAAAGTTATGAAGAATTCGCTAGTCATTTGCAAGATTATTTTTTGAAGTGGGTTGAGATACCCCAGGAGGCAGTAGAGATGCCTGAAGTCTCTAAAGGGCTCAATCTGGTCATGATTGACCAATTCTTAGAGAGAGTACCCGATGAAGTATTGAGGTTAAAGCTAAGGGAGCTACAAGCCACATCTCTCATGGTAGTTGCGCGCAAGGCGGACGAATTAGTAATCCAGAGGGGGGCGAATGCGGGTAACACAACCCCAGGGAGTGATCCCTCCACTCCACGACGGACAGGTGCAGGCAGTAACCCCACGGGACGTAGATCCTTTAATGCTGCCTGCTACCGGTGTGGCCAGCTCGGGCACAGAATTGCCAACTGTCCGGTACCTCCGGGGGCCACAGGGTCGGGTTTCCAGGGAGGACCTCCACAGGGCTTTACTCGAGAACCGTCACCAAGGTGCAATTTCATTGCAAAGGATAGGGGTGATGCTACAATTGCAGATGTTGTTGTTCAGGGTCTAGATGACAGAGTGGTGAAGACCCAAGCCCTGCTGGACTCGGGGTCAGAGGTTTCCCTGGTCACTTTTGAATTGTGTAAGGAGTTAGGGGTAGAGGTTACTCGTGAAACTGAAGGGGTGTTAGGCATGATCAATGAAACTGCCTTAGTGCCTGATGGTTTAGCATCCCTGCAAGTGGGTCTAGGAGGCAGCACTGCGACTGAGGTCTTTCATGTGGTTGGTAGGCTCCCAGTACCTGTCCTCCTTGGTGCTGACTTTGCTGAAAAGGTGAAACTTATCATAGATTTTGGCAGTCGTAGTTATAGCACAAGTAGCAATGGGGCCAATGAGCGGCCAGTTAAGTTCTCGTTGAATGGAGGGCAGGAGATGTCACATGTTGAAGAAGAAGTCGATGTTCATCTCCAAGCTGAGGATGAGATGAAGAAACTTGATCTAACTGAAGCAGATAGACAGAAATTAGATCAGGTTTTTCAAGACTTCCCAGATGTGTTTAGTGAGGTACCTGGTCATACGAACATGGCTATTCATAGAATTGATGTAGGAGGGGCTTCTCCCATCCGCTCTCACCCGTACAAGGTGAGTCCTGAGAAAAGACAAGCTCTTGATGAAGAGTTGGATAAGCTTCTGGACATGGGGAAGATTGAGCCTTCAGATTCACCTTGGGCCGCTCCTGTAGTGATGGTCCCTAAGAAGAACGGGAAGTACAGGATGTGTGTCGATTACCGAAAATTGAATACAATTACAAAGATTGATGCCTTCCCCATGCCTACAGTGGATGACATTTTGAGCTCTCTGCATGGTGCCTCGGTTTTCTCGTCATTAGATCTGCGCAGTGGATACTGGCAGATGGGTGTTGCAGATGAGGATGAGGAGAAGACTGCCTTTGTTTGTCATAGGGGTCTATTCCACTTCAAGGTCCTTCCTTTTGGTGTGGTAAATGGTCCTGCCAGTTTCCAACGGTTGATGTCCAAGGTGCTTGATGGCCTGATAGGGCGAAATTGCTATGTCTACTTGGACGACATTGTGTGTTTCTCTCCGGATATTGAGCAGCACATCTCTGATCTCCAGGAGATCTTTTGTTGCTTACGACAAGCGGGTCTGACCGTAAATACTGAGAAATGTCAGTTTGCCTGCCAAGAAATGAAATATCTTGGCCATGTTGTCAGCTCAAATGGACTCAAGATGGACCCCGAGAAGGTGTCTACCATTGTTAACTATCCCCAACCTAGGTCGATCAAGGAATTAGAGAGGTTCCTTGGGATGGCCGGATGGTATCAGAAATTCATTCCTAGCTTCTCAGAGGTTGCTGCACCTCTTCATGGATTGAAGAAGAAAGGTGTTCCCTGGAATTGGACTGCTGACTGCACTCGTGCTTTTCAGGCCTTGAAGGAGAGCCTCCTCACTGAGCCAATACTAGGCTACCCTGATGAAGAATCCAGGTTTGCTGTACACACAGATGCCAGCAATGTTGGGGTCGGTGCAGTCCTGATCCAGCAGCAACCGTCTGGGACGAGAACTATCGCCTATGCGAGTCGGTCTTTGTCTGCTGCAGAAAGGAATTATAGTACTACTGAGAAGGAGTGTTTGGCTGTAGTATGGGCCCTAGAGAAATGGCGGCCATATCTGGAAGGTAGAGAGTGTCGTGTAATAACGGACCACCAGGCACTTTGCTGGTTATTTCGGAAGAAGAAGCAAAATGGGCGACTTGCTCGTTGGATTCTGAGGCTTCAGGATTTTCGGTTTCAGGTGATATACAGGCCTGGAAAGCAACATCATGTCCCGGACGCACTATCTAGGATTCCTGAGAAAGGTGTTGCCCCTTTGGTGGGAGTTGTAAACAGGGTTTTGTCGGATCGAGTCTGTGACGGACATGAAAAGGACTTATGTGCAGCCAGTGATTGCATTTCCCCGGATGATGAGTCGGTTAGTTGGGTACAATGTGATGATTGTGATAAGTGGTATCACCAGGTTTGTGTCCATATTGGTTCTCAAGAGGCGGAGGAGGTGGACAAATACTCTTGCCCATCTTGTATTGGCAAGTCAGAGGCCACGGATGAAGTCGTTCTTCCTTTGGATTTGACAAAGGATTCTGTCCTGAGGGCACAACAGAGTGACCCAGATCTTTTGCCAATCATTCAGATCCTTGAAAAGCAAAAGAATGGTGGTGGGGAGGATCAAGGTCCTGTTCAGAGGTTTTCAGATTTCAGTTTGAAGGGAATGGTGTTGTATAAGAATGAATGTGTAGTTATCCCCAAGGCCCTTCAGAATGCAGTGTTAGTTGAGTGTCATTGCAAGCCAATAGCTGGGCATCTTGGGAGAAAGAAGACACTTCAAAGGTTGAAGTCGATGGGTCTCTGGTGGAGTGGTATGTCGCGGTCTGTAAGAAGCTTTATTCGCAGTTGTAAGGTTTGTCTTCAAACAAAGCCTTCTTACCAGAGACGTCAAGGGAAGATGTTGTCTAGTACCTCCACGAGGCCTTGGGAAAAGGTTGGTGTAGATCTCATGGGGCCTTTGCCAAAGTCGTATGCTGGGCATGAGTATATTCTGGTGGCTGTCGACCATTTCTCAAAGTTTGTGGAGATTCTGCCTTTGAAGTCAGCTACCAGCCAGTCGGTTGCAACCACTCTAGTGAGGGAGCTGTTCTGCAGATATGGACCTCCAGGAGCCCTGCTCTCGGACAATGGCCCCCAATTCAGAGGGAAGGTTCTGCGAGCTGTCTGCACAGATTGGGGGATTGAGCAGATCTTCATCACGCCATATCACCCCCAAACGAACTGGGTCGAAAGGGTGAATCGTAACATCAAGGCCATGCTTCAAGCTTACACCGGATCTGACCATCGACAGTGGGATGTTCATCTCGCTGAACTCGCGTTTGCCCTGAACAGCAGTAGTCATGACACACTTGGTGTAGAACCATCAGTAGTTATGTTTGGACGGCGCTTGGCTTCTCCCTTGACTAACCGCCTGCAGACTGAGGGAAACAAAGACATTCCTACGCAAGAAGAAATCGCACACAATCGTCGACGCGCTGTTAGTAGCTCCAAACAATACTACGACCAGAGCCGTGATGAGTGCCGCATCACTGAAGGAAGCCAAGTCATGGTGAAGACTAAACCTCTATCAAATGCGAAAAAGAACTTCTCAGCTAAGCTAGCACCACGATGGACTGGGCCGTTTGTTGTGCAGAAAAAACTAACCCCAGTGAATTTTCTTGTGGTGAACGCTGCCAACAAGAAGATAACTCGCATTGTTCATGTGGACCAATTGAAAGGGTGCTAATTACTTCGAACATAGACTTCGCATGTTGTCAACGCTGTTAAAATTGTCGCTTATTGTAGCATATTGGATCAGGACTGGTTGAAAGTTCGCGACTCACGATTACATTGACTTACCTCTATAGCCGAGTAAGATTGCAGTTTGGTCGAGAGCGGGACTGTCACAGTTGGGCTATGGATCGCGAAACTAAATGGACGCTAAGTTTAATTGATCTGGACTCTTAATATAGATTCTAACAGACTCTTATTTCAACTGATGTTATATGTTTAATGTCAACCATTTATATTGGTGCGTGCCCATGTGCTTTAATTCTGGCTCGTGCAGAATTATGCACTCTTCAGAATTGTTGATGACTATTATAATATTAACATGTCGGATCCTTATCTTTACAGTTAAAGGATAAATACAACCGGTTGGAAATTGTTGAAAATTGGAACTGTATATAAACTTGTGATTCCCTGCGAATTTTCTGTCTTTGCATCTAGTGTTTTTACTTAGAGTTATACATGTACACTGAATTTTTGTGCACATGAAATTGTTATACAGTATGTACACAGAATTTGTGTTTCAAAAGATAGACGAAACAAAAGGGCTACCAATTGGGTGTAGTTTATAATTTACACATATACAGATGTTAGTTTTGCTAACGTCCTACACTTTGGTAAACACTATATCTGACCTGACATTGGGTATAACAATATATATATATATATATATTGTTATATATTTAAATGTTTTTGCCGGACCTGCTGAACGGATTTAAATTAATAGAGGATACGATGTATGTTTAGTTGTCATTCATCCTACACTTTAGCCATGCAGGTAGAGGTAGGGATAAATTACAAATTTGTCTATAAGGGTAATTTCTTTTAGAAAGAAATCAAACAAAAGAGCACTCAGCTGTGCTGGTGCTGTGTTACTTCTTTTGATTTTTCTTTGAAAAGGTATTCATGGATATGTTTGAACATGTTCAGACGATAATCTGTATTGGACGTTTTTTCTTGTTGGTTTTTGGCATTATGTATTTTGCATCTCTGTTTTAAAGGGGGAAGCTATCCTTTGGGGTGCGGTGTTCGTTATTCTTACAGTGTACATTTTTTGAGTACTGATGGTATCTTGCGCAGACAAGCGAACTGGGTGTATAGATTTACCCTGAACTCAACATAGAAAGAGTCGGTAGCGATCACAGCAAATTAAGAGAACTGGTGGTCGTCTGTTTTGTCTGTACGCGCGCTTGGTTGCAATATTGTTGCTTCACATGTATATGTCTCGGGCGAGATTTGGCTTGTTTTATGAGCAGTTTGGAAATGTTTGAATATAATTTGAAAAAACCCCGTAGGGTATTTTTGGTGGGGGAGAGTATAGGGATTGATATCGTGATAACCGATACCGATACCGATATGATCGGGAGAGGGATCGGGAGAGGAGAAAATGGACGATTGTCTGTAAGATTCCGATTGTTGTTTCTAAGGCCGTTGTCGCCTAATAAAGGTGTTTTGACCCAATTCCTGTCTGAGATCTAATCCTTCCTGTCTGTACATAGTGAACCCCCTTATACATGTAAGTTAGAGTAAGACAAACAAGTTTTCCACTTCATTTCTTCAAATTTCATTGGTGATTGAGAACACTAGTCTAGTAACAGTCAGATATCTTGAATTCAGAAGAGAATTATAAAACAAGGCTTGTGATCGTAATTTACTAGTAGTAACAGTAGTAGCAGGAGTAGCAGGAGTAACAGGGTAACAAGTAAAACTCTCCCGACAAATTTTAAGACACAAACCATGATCATTTCTTTAACATAGCTTTCGCACTCACACTCACACAGCTAAGAAGATCCCAAACCAGCTGATTTGGCTCACGCGCACAATACCAGTCACGCTTCCCAATTCCATTTCTCCAAATCTCAAACTTGGCTTACCGATCTCAAAATGCTGGAAAAATGTCTTTGCTGAGAAATCTGCTTCACACAGCTAGATGTACCTCGAAGGCAATTCGTTGCTATTTTTGCTGCCGTCAACATATTGAACTTGTTCACCTTGTTTCAGCTCGAAAGAATGAAAATGTTCGAGCTCTGTGAGTTTACCGTGGACACAAACGTGGGTAGGTGTTGCGCATACGAATTTTACATTGGGCTTGCATACAAAAGGTACAGTATACACGTGTTTCGCAACGCAATATCCATGCATGGGCATTTAACCGGAGCGTCGCGTCGCTGCATGCATGATGTAATGGAGGCCAATTATTACTACAGCGCATGCGCAATTGATTCGTCTACCAGGAATATTCTGGACAAAATAATCTCAGCTTTATAATTATACCGGTAGGCCCTATACTCACAAATGGAGTAGTAAAATGGAGCCCAAAGTTTGAAGTGGAAGAAAGAAAGAAAAAAAAAAATCATGAAGTACAGCTATTCGTTCTTATCATTTGATTTTGGTGCAGATCGAGACACTCTACATTCTGGTAACACAAATAGGTCTAAAACTATTTTTGCTTCATCCAGTATGTAAAATGAGGTAAATTTCTCCATAAACGTACAGTAAAAATAAAAAGAAGTATTTAAGGAATCAGTTTTTCATGTTTTTCAAGAGAAATGATAAAGAAATGCACAAATTCTTCATTTCTTTCTCCTCTCTCTCTCTCTCTCTCTCTTCCACCCCCTCTTTTCCATTTCTATATTCCATGTTTGTATTACTCTTATCGCCTCCTTTTGTATAGTCTCTTCTCCCCACCCTTTTTTATGATTCAGTTAAACCATGTTTAAAAGTTATTTGCTGGTTAATTGTTTTAGTACTCAAGCGCTTTTGACAAATATTTCTTGTATTAATTATCTGCAGGCCGGTTGATTTTGTATATGATATTGATTTCACTTCAACTGTGCAGGATGAAGGGTTCCCCAGTATGATGCAAAAAAGTGCAATTCCACTCCTACTTATTGAGAGTAGGAGGCAGAGATGGTGAGCACTGCCTTCAGGCCTGAAAGCTAAATATCACCAAATAATACCAAGTTACAAAATTTAGTCAATGATCAAATGAAAATACATGTACTTTCAATTTCCTGTAACCCGACCAACAATAGCTACCCAGAATATGACATGGACAAATCACAACTCAAAACATTTGAACATGTATTACATTAATCATACCAAAGTAGATCTTTGAAAAGTTTATTGAGGCAAAAAAAGTATATTCATATATATATATAACAGGGAGGATCGATTGAATAATTTCATCCCTTGTATCAAGTTGTGGTAGATGGTACAATGAAAGATTAATTATAAGCATATCTATAAATGATTTCATGAAAAAAAATAAGCAATAACATTTTCAACAAAAAATTGCACATAATATTATACAGTATATATTAGATCATATATTAATTTTAACTTTGAAGGAGAAATACTTGATTAAATATCGACATGCTGATATCTTGAAGCTCATCCATGAGGAAATATCATTTCACACGAGGACAAAATCAAAAGCGTTTCAAATTAGGTATAAAAGCTTACTAAATGAATATCAATGTAAATCAGAAAAGAAAGAGCTGAAGTAAAGGTGAAATTTGATTAAAGACATTATTTGTTATGATGCAATTCTCTCACTTGATAATTATCCCAGTGATGGATTGAATGATGTGATTTAAAGGTAACTTTATTACACTATTGCTGTGTACTACATCAAGAATTACAATTCTATTGTTTCTCTCTAAAAGTAATTAAATCTCCTTTAATCCATTGTAACTTTACAGTGAAATTGAATAGTAACTTACAATCAATTTCATTATAAAGTTACAGTACATTGTAAGATGCAACCGACCAATTGTAGCAAGAATGGAAATATATTATGCACAACAGAGTTTCCCCATTGAACAAAATGATCATAATTTAACTTACAAGTCACAAGGCATTAGTTACCTATGTCATATGTTGAGTATCATATCGTCGCTGTTTTCACGAAGTGACGGTAGTGAAAAAATTGCATTCACTTTGCGTGACGATTTTCCTCACTACCGTCACTTCGTGAAAACAAGGACAATATTTTGTGTGCACTGAAGGAATTTGTAAATTTGACATTTTAGATGCTGCATCATTCTAACCTAATTAAACGCTATCACTGAGATTGGAAAAGAGGATAAGATATGTTACTCGCACTCTGATTTTCATGATCAAATTTTCTCTGGAATTTGTTTCCATCATTTCACAACCACATTAGCCTTTTAGATGTGACACACAGTTGTGCAGAGTGTTAAAGAGAAGGTTGAGTTCTGGGAAGAGGTGAAAAATAATTTGTGAGCATTACTCATTCTTATTATGCAAGTGTGGAAGAACATCAGTTAAGACATGTTCCCTTAAAAGCATGGCTCTTCAAATGCCTTCATATTCTAAATATGCATGTAACATCGTAAAAATCGGGGGGGGGGGGGGGGGGGGCTTTTTACGCCACGTGTTCGTGTAGTCCCATATACATCTTTCTGTGCAAGTGTTCGTAACTTTACCAAGACTTGGCCAAATTTCTTATCATTTTGATGATTCCAGAACCTTGCAATACACACCAATTCTTATATGCTAGATAATCAACCTTTTCTGGTCGGTTCCACACCGTTTCTTTCACAATGCAATCGCATGACCAGAACTCAACTTCATCTTTAAAATGTAGACATAACTTGCAGAAGCACAAAGTGCTCTAAAAAAAGTACATGGCAAATAAGAAAAGACAGTTATTTGTGAAGGCATAGATTGCCCCACAACATGAATATTCCCAGTTTCTTCAAATAAAGAATACATGTAATTGTTCAGGGACAGTTTCGCAGATCTATTAGCATAAAATCTTCATATGCCTAACTTTGGATTAGTCGGAGCATCAAACTTTGTATAGGTATGTCCTGAAACCCTTGTGTTGTATAGAACTGACAGATAATTTGGATCCCCCTTCTACTACTCTTCTCCTTCTTCTCATTCTTCTCTCACCCCCCCCCCCCTTCTCCTTTCTTCTTCTTCTCCTTCTCCTCCTCCTCCTCCTTCTTCCTCCTCCTCCTCCTCCTCCTCCTCCTCCTCCTCCTCCTCCTTCTTTCCTCCCCCCCTGGTCATCCACAAATGTACATATATGAATAAGACACATGTGCAAGCATTTCAAAGTACAAATGGCAGAGATAAAGTCTCTTTTCTACTACAGCAAAATAAAAAGTAATTCTTACACTGATTTAAATTTCTTTCTTTTTCATTCAATATCTTTAGATCAGTTGGGATATTTTCAGAAATATTTGTACGTGCACAGGAAGACTCTGAACAGTATACAAAGAATATTGATTCCAGTTCCATTTTTGTTATTTTATGTACCACAAAATTTATACTTCATAACACCATCATAAATCCCCACTGCACTACTTATAGCTACTTGCACCCTCTATACAGCAGAGAATGCCTAATCGTGACCATTGATCCCCCATGGTCCCCTTTTCCTATGTTAATTGAGAGCTGATTTGATGAGATAACCACCATACAGTGACCATGCAGGGTGGTGTAATCCCACCTGGCCAAACTGGTGCAGAGGGGATTTAAATACAAGCTTTAGACTCAATGTCAAAATAAAAACCCAAGTAAAAATAAATTAAAATAAAACAAGAAAGTTTGGAGGGAAAGAATAATATCATTGTTATTAAAGTAAGTAAATGCATGAATTCAGTAAACCAAATGTGACCAAAATGACTTGTATTGTCTCCTCTCCAAGCTACTTTCATATTTTCCTTTTTAAAACCCAGAATAATAACACATTTCACCAAGGCAAGATTAGTGAGGATAATCATCTTCTTTTCTGGTAATAAAAATCACTGATTAATGGTTACTTAAAAACTATAATTTTCATTCAAAGGTACGCTAATATGGGACAGAATACTGCAAAATCTGAAATTTCTTGACATGAATCTTAGCCGGTTGTAAATGAGAGTGATTTCACGGCAAGAAACTTTCTTGAACTTTAGAAAAAAATCAATGCAGAGTCAGTTGAGATTCACTCATTTCGTGGCATGATATTTCCGTGACACTGAGCCACTCATGAAATTTGGTACAAGTTCAATTGAACAAACCCTCCACAGTCGGAGTGCATATGGGTTACATGGGGTCTGAACTACCTAAGCTGCAGACTACATGTTAATAGCTTATATGCTGTACCTGATAACTAAGCTCAGTCTATTTGACACAAGCCCTCAATAATTAAAAACAAATATAAGTAACAGGTCTGAATTTCCCCAGCTGCAGACTACACTCACATAAGCCATCACAGTACCTGCTTTTGTCATATACTGTTGAGCTGATTTGGTCTTGGCTCAAGCCACCTCTGATTTTTATCAAAAAGTCAAAATATCAGTAGAATCTGTCTTTGCAGGCTTTGCATGAATAATCACAGTCATTTTTCATCTGATATTGCTCTCCAACTGAATCAAGATGCAAAGAAATCTGGATGCTCCACTTTCTCGCTTGGCAAATGTCTGAATAAAGATCGATGATTGAATCAAGATTGTAGAAAGGCCTTGAATTATCGTGATGTCAACAGGGACAGGATTTCTTGTGACTGTTTTCTGATAGCTTCAATGTATTTGGGGTCTCTTCTCCTGTTGAAGAAAAGAGAAATATAGAAATACCATATTGATAATAGAAATAATAATAGTGTAAACTTATAGAGAGCCCACACACCATCCAGGGATGCTCATGGCGCTGGCAGTACATGTCTGCTATATTGTATAATGTCTGTGGTCAGTATCCATAAAGGTATAATAACTAAAGTCTAGGTTTAAAGATGAATTTAAGTTCTGGTCATGCGATTGCATTGTGAAAGAAACGTTGTGGAAACGATCAGAAAAGGTTGATCATCTACCATATAAGTATTGGTGTGTACTACAAGGTTCTGGAATCATCAAAATGATGAGAAATTTGGCCCAGTCTTGGTAAAGTTACAAGCACTGTACACAGAAAAATGTATATTGGACTATACATGAACATGTGGCGTCCCAATTTTTATGATGTTACATGCCATATTTAGAATGTTAAGGCATTTGAGGAGCCATGTTTTTCAGGGAACATTTTTTATATGATGTTCTTCCACACTTGCATAATACAATGATAATTAAATCCAATGAAGTATCGGGCTCCACATGTCAATCTCCTCAACTCTAATTCCTTTAAAGAGAAGGTTGAGTTCTGGGAAGAGGCGAAAAATAATTTGTGAGCATTACTCATTCTTAGTATGCAAGTGTGGAAGAACATCAGTTAAGACATGTTCCCTGAAAAGCATGGCTCTTCAAATGCCTTCATATTCTAAATATGCATGCAACATCGTAAAAATCGGGGGGCGACTTTTTACGCCACGTGTTCGTGTAGTCCCATATACATCTTTCTGTGCAAGTGTTTGTAACTTTACCAAGACTTGGCCAAATTTCTTATCATTTTGATATTTCCAGAACCTTGCAATACACACAAATTCTTATATGCTAGATGATCAACCTTTTCTGGTCGGTTTCTTTCACAATGCAATCGCATGACCAGAACTCAATTTTATCTTTAACTCTAATTCAGTAACTAAATGAAAAACAAAAACCATGTCAACATGAAATAAATTCCTAATCTTCAGTTCATAACTGAAATCATGTGTGTACTTGTTGTGGAGTTGTTGTAATTTGTAATTTCCTTGTAATTTGGTACTTACATTTATCTTTTAATTATATAATACTTTCTTTAGGTAAGCCACTTATAAAGGTCACTTCCTTTCTGTCTGCTACCTACCAAGCAACTTTTATACTGTTGTACCAATGTATATACGTGTATTCTATTTTTGATGGTAACAAAGTATAAGTTCTATACAGGTATCAGGGAATAATTTTCCTGGTATCGCATCGCAATTTGCTATGCATTTTTGCATGACTGCTATACAAAATATCTTTTGTGTAGCAGTTTTCTTCCATAGAAATGTACAGAATTTCATTTGAAATATTTATCCATCGGCTGAAATTGCTAATCAAAAAATTTGAGGAAAATTATTCCCTGGGTATGTATGTTATTTTTTTAATCATTTTGGTGAAATAAAATCATGTTATGAAACTAATAATACACATCATTTTATTCGGGCATAAGTAAAATTACTCACACTCGGTACCTTTGAAACAGCCTCAGGCATGTTAGGTAATTCTTACTAATGCCCTCACTGCTGAGTATTATTTGTACATATTTACTATTATATTACTAAACCAGAAACCAACACATGCCTGAGAATTTCACATTTTAAGATGAGATGAGACAGGTAAGGAAGAAGTACAGCATTGAAGAAAGATTATGGAAAGGAGAGGGAGGAAAGTATTTATCATGCAACTGAAGGGTTGATAATTATTCAGGTGACTTACCATTTTCATTGTTCTTTGGATCATCAACAAAATCTTTGGCTATCTTAAAGAAGAGATCCTCTGATGAAACACAAGATTGTTGTAGGTGAAAGAAGAAAAACAATATCTTTTACAATTCCAATAATCAAGATTCTGTATTACAGAAAATACAATCCAATGATTAAACCAAAGCATCATGATCATAGTTGCACATTGTTTGATAATCACTTGAGATAATGAAATACCAAAATATATTCAGTTATTTCAGGATCTATTTTCAATTTTCAAAAGGGCAATACAATGTTTGTAAATAAGTTAATTCAATGAATTAAGCAGAGATATAAGAGAACTAGATGGAATTTTGACTGCGCGCAGTCGAAAATGATGCCTCCGCCATAGAGCAATTTAAACAAGTTTGGAGTTTAAATCTCCAGTGGTTCTTGAGATATCATGATAACAATCTCAATGTATGGAATTTCATAAGTTGACCTCTGTGACCCTTGACCTTTGACCTACGTGCTCCAAAATCTAATCAGATTGTCTTCCTATGGTGATACACACTATCATTAAGTTTGAAGTTTAAATCTCCAGTGGTTCTTGAGATATTATGATATGGTGATACATACTATCATTAAGTTTGAAGTGAAAATTCTCCAGTGGTTCTTGAGATATCGCGATAACGATCTCAATGTATGGAATTTCATAAGTTGACCTCTGTGACCCTTGACCTTTGACCTACGTGCTCCAAAATCTAATCAGATTGTCTTCCTATGGTGATACACACTATCATTAAGTTTGAAGTTTAAATCTCCAGTGGTTCTTGAGATATTATGATAACAATCTCAATGTATGGAATTTCATAAGTTGACCTCTGTGACCCTTGACCTTTGACCTACGTGCTCCAAAATCTAATCATATCGTCTTCCTATGGTGATACATACTATCCTTAAGTTTGAAGTTTTTACATCTCCAGTGGTTCTTGAGATATCATGATAACAATCTCAATGTATGGAATTTCATAAGTTGACCTCTATGACCCTTGACCTTTGACCTACGTGCTCCAAAATGTAATCAGATTGTTTTCCTATAGTGATACACACTATCACTAAGTTTGAAGTTTAAATCTCCAGTGGTTCTTGAGATATCATGATAACAATCTCAATGTATGGAATTTCATAAGTTGACCTCTGTGACCCTTGACCTTTGACATACGTGCTCCAAAATCTAATCAGATCGTCTTCCTATGGTGATACATACTATCCTTAAGTTTGAAGTTTAAATCTCAAATGGTTCTTGAGATATCGCGCTAACAAACTCAATACAAGGAATTTCATAAGTTGACCTGTGACCTGTGACCTTTGACCTACGTACTCCAAAATCTAATCAGATCGTCTTCCTATGGTGATAAATACTATTCCCGAGTCTTAAGTTTAAATCTTAAATGGTTCTTGAGATATTGTGATAACGGTCAAACGGGACGGACGTACGGACGGACGTACAGACGTACGGACATACGGACGTACGGACGGACAACCCGAAAACATGATGCCTCCGGCACCACCTTCGGTGGCCGAGGCATAAAAAGAATGGTAAAAGTTTGAAATACATCGGACCAATAATAAAGGAGTTATGAATGTTTGAAATATGTGGTCACTAATTCTATTTGAATCTCGAATTGGCAATTTGGTCAGTGGATTGTGATGAAGTCATGGACAACTCTCCTGTTAGTTGTGTACAAAACAATCTCATTAATTTCTGTTTTACTCTTTTGAGTAATGCCAAAAATGAGAAGCCTTCTCCCTTTGGGCCTACTCAAAATACATTATGGATATCATATCAATATATGTCTTCTAAAAGGAAAAAAAACCTTCTGAGTCATACTTTTTTTTTTTAATTGACATTTTAGTCATTTTGTGTGTTGAAATAAATTGAAAAGTTGAAAAGTTCTCTAGCACTTTGTCAAAGTGACAGTATCAATTTAGCCAATTTGAAGTGCTCATACATAAAGTGATTACAGCTTTCAAAAATTCATGATTTTCTCATTTTTGTTTGTCTGATTTCATTCAGACTTTCACCATTCTGCTTCTTATATTTGTCTGCTTTCTTTTAGAGTAGTTGTAGAAGTCTATTAAGGTTGAATTTTCCTAATAACATACATGTAGCATGGAATTTAGCTGAATTTCAAGATCTTTATATATCAATGTCGTTTCTCATGCATGTAATAATGATAATAATAATAATCTTTTACAGTCCACTCCAAATTTTATTAAGTTAAACCGAAAATGGAAATTCTTTTTGCCCAATTGATCGTGAGCCTGGCAGCCACTGAGCAGCGCCAGCTCTATCCCTTATTGTTGAACGCCAAACAAGGTAGCAGCAACTCCCGTCTTTTAACGTCTTTTGGTATGACGCGGCCGGGGTTCGGACCCACGACCTCCCGGTTGTGAGGCTGACGCTCTACTGACTGAGCCAACACACCGGTGTACATGTATTAAGTTGTAATAATATTACCATTCTGCTGAGGTTTTCAGAAATGTACACATTTCACAATTGACCATTCAAATACAAATTACCAGACAAAGAGGCATAAGAAAACTTACTGATATTGTGTCCTGTTTTACTCGACGTTTCAAAGACCTGGGCACGTATTTCTGTGGTTTGAAAAAACAAATTATCAGGACAATGTAGAATGAAGTCAATCTTTATTTCAGTATCTTTTGCAAACATTTGTACCAGTGTAAAACAAAACAAATAACCTATTCACGGGAGCTCTTCTGGGTTTGGTGCTGTATAAGTGAGGTTTTCTCACAGTGATATTACAGCCCCCCTATAAAGTGTTGGGAGCCCCAAAATTTGATGGCAAAATTTCACTTAAATTGTATTAAAATGTGAGAGAGGATGTCATTTCAGACACATTTCTGAAGGGATTTTCAAAACAAATGAGTTTGAAGTCGAATATTGAAGAAAGAGTAACAAATTTAGGTTTTCTGTGTACAACAGAAATCCCAAATTTAAGGAAATGATCGGGTGAAGGTGAGATACAGAGGAGAATACACAATGCCATAACCATGCCATTGATCAAAAGGCCTTATCAAGTGGTTGGATTGGCATGTATGCACTTGTAAAGTGGCACCCGGCCGGAATACTCCCCAGGAAGCAGCGCATGTTCACTATCATGAGCAGATAAGCAATTAAATCCAATGAACAAGGTAATAATAATTACAATGTAAAGCGCTTAGAATCATATTACTTAGCACTATACAAATGTGACTATTGTTATTGTTATTATTATGATGTATTTCTCGGAACCACAGAAATAATATGTTCTATTATAAAGAAAATTTGCTACAAAATTAAATTGATCTTTGCTAGTTCCATCGTACAATGTATTTGAGATCCAATTTAAAAATTTAGAAATAATTTGGACTTACCATCAGCATAATCTGTTGTTACATGATAATCAACTTTCCGACACCTCTTGTCGTCTTGTACAAGATCAACTTTGGTCCCACATAAATAGATTTTGCAGTGCTGAAACAATAAAAATAACAGGTAATTGGTCATTATTTGAAAATGAAATGTAATAAATTATAGATGAATTTTAGGATATCTCGACAATAATGGAACAAAAATTGTTCATATAGAGCCATTTAATCTCTTCTTCCTCCTCCTCCTCCTCCTCACCTACACCTCCTGTCCCCCCCCCCCCCCCCCCCTCCTCCTCCTCCTCCTCCTCCTCCTCCTCCTCCTCCTCCTCCTCCTCCTCCTCCTCCTCCTCCGTGTTTTTCTTCTTCTTTTTCTCATTATCGTATTATCACTACTGTTATTTTGGCTCTTTATTGCATGAACACATCAATTAACATTAAGTGAATTTGTATAAGATTTGAACCAAAATTGTGTACCCGGTACATGAAAACAAAGGCTACATGTACATGTATATCAAATAACATGGAAACCCCTCCTCCTCGTTGAAAAAAAAATAGGTAGGCCAGTATAAATAAAGCTTCGACCACAACATTATCCCACTGATTGTATTAAACCACAAATGCACTTGCACATAAGGCCTGTCCTCACTAGCTCGAGATTGCCAAATATCCAGCTATTTGAACTATCCTGATCGCAAACTATCCAGCTAATTTGCATCTTCATCAGCCCGAAGTTGCAATTAGCGGGATATTTGGTCGGGATTGTCATCCCAAGATATCTTGGGATAGTTTGCAAAATATCCAGCTATTTGTCCAGTGCGTTTTCACCAGACCGAAGACTTGCACTATGCGCGAAAGCTGAGCAAAATATCTCGCGCTAATTTGACAAGGTCGAGTTTCAAGTTTCAAGGTCGAATCTCGAGCTGATGAAGACACGATTTGTAACTTCGGGATTATTTCCCAAATCAGAAATAGCAGGCTATTTGGCAATCTCGAGATGATGAAGACGCGCTTATTGTAGATGTTTATAGAATTTCATCCCCAACCAAAAAAATAATAATAATAATAGATGGATGTTTAGTCTTTTGAATGATATTGTGGCTTGCATGTAGTTTGGCGATTCTACAATACATGTACATGCTCTAGCATTGAAACACGATATATGTACATATACCAAATGTTAACCCTAAACCTAAACGATTACCCAATTGTAACCCTAGCCCTAACCTTTGATGTAGTGAAATAAAGCCCAGAGCAATTGTCGCCAAAGCAGATATCAGATCACTGGTTTAACATGTACCTCTTTATTTTTTAACAAATTCTCCAATTTCTACCAAGAATCTTGCAAACTGCAACCCCAACCCTACACCTATAAAGCCTGGAACTACATCATTATCATCAGAGTAAATGACAGGTCACCAGCTTGGCATTTACCTCTTCATTTTTTAATAATTCTTCTACCCAGAATCTTGCTTTTCCAAAGCTCAGCTCATCTGTTAGATCTGTAAAAAAGCAAATCAGAACCACATAATAAATATGAAACCAACTGTATTTGATAAAAAACAACCTTAATTGTCTGAAAACAATTTAAGAATACATTACAAAGAAGTGAAAGGTGAAATATGATTTGGTTTCACAAGACCTCATTCATCAAAGTCACCATGGAAAAACATTATGACTATGAATCATCATAACAATGTATTAAAAATTGAAGAGAAAATCATACTTCGGAGATGAGAGTAATTTACAACATAGCTTTGAAAAAGAGGAAGTAATGAAATATGAAACAAATTTTCACTATTAAAACAGAAGATCAAAAAAAAAAGAGTTCCACTAAGTAACAACAAAAATTATGTCCACATTGACTTTAGAGGAGGCCAATTTATGGCATTTATAAACAAGAAGCAGTAATACAAAATCCATCACCATTCTCTATGCTTCAATAACTCGCAACAATTAATTTAAAAATTGTCAACATACAGTGTACATGCCCACTCTACTTGCTATCTTTCATAATGGTATTTACATTACATGTATCATCAGGTGTAATATGTTTCTTAATTGCTAACTGTAGTTAATTTCAATTCCAATTAATTACCCACAGTTATCTGTTTGTGAGTCATATACACTGTATCTATTCAATTAATATTTCCTACATGTACAGTACATGTGTACACACACTAAAATTTATCAAACAGATTTACCAAAATCAAATTGCTCCTGTTCCTTGAACAGAATCGAAAAAATTCATCAAATAAATTCTGATATGCAATGACCTTGTTTCTATTTTTAGTCCATTACATAAAAACAAACAAATGTAATCTTTGTACTTTTGACCTGAACCAACGGGCCTCATAGATTGTCTGTGCATGTGACTTCATTTTGTCAGAATAAGTTAAATGTCTACATGAATTCAGTATAACACTAAAATCAGCCAGGCCAACAGCGATAGAGATTTCATGTATGATGTTGTTTCAGTCTTAGGAATGATGGGAACAATGGAAACCATGGGAATTTATGACATGTGGCATTCTGTGGTTTAATACATTGTTGCTGTATTTTCTCAGTTACTTTCAAAACTGGGCACTATTCACAGAACTCTCTCACCATGATACCATCTTCAATGTAGTAACCAATGTGCTTACTCATGTATGTTTGCCATGTTTTCTTGTTGAAGTGGCTATAATTTTCTTCTCAATCTTCACCAAAGCAAAAAGGAAAGACATATGAATTACAATTACAGTCCACATACATGTACTGTAGTTCAGAGCATTAATGAACCATTATTCAAGTATACAATAAAGGTATCTCAAAATGCTAATGAACGATGTTCAAAAAAAGTAAATGAAAACTTAAATGATAACTGGCTATCTGTTACAACCAGTTAAACATAGACAAAGATTTATTGAAAACTTGTATCAACTATAGACTGTATGCATAGAGACCTATCTGCCTATACATTTTCTGACTGTCTGCAGCAACTTATAGTCAGTCAGGAGCTTTAATCAAAAGAAATGGGCAAGTACATAGAATTGCAATCAATAACTCTCACCATAACAAACGATGGCAGCCTTCGCCCCTCTGTAGTATATCCTGCTCATGGCCTCATACCTCTCGGATCCAGCCGTATCCTGATTACATGAAATTAATTAATTCAATTAATTAACAGCTGTCAAATCAGTGTATTATATGCATTGAATGCATGCTAAAATGGATGGTGTATACTTTCCCTGTCTTATTTTTCACAGTAACTCACATATTGTCTGCTCTACATGTAATAGGTTTATATTTCATGCATTTAAAATCTTCTTAACTTGGATTGTACGTTTCTATTCTTTTCTTTTTGGAAAAAAAACACAGTAAAAAATGACACAATAAATAGGAAAAAAAAGAAGCTAATTTATACCTAAATACATTTAGGATTCAAATTCTTCCATGCCAAGGTTTACATCATGAAGTAAAGCAGTATTTCATTACATTACAAGGAAATTCACTTTCTCTGCCAAGGTGTGGTGTAATTTTCAGAATTTCTTTTCTTGCCAAAATCCATGTGACAAGCATTCTACACCAATTACCTTTAAATATAAGTCCAACTACAAACAAGCAGTATTATAAGCCTTTAACTGCATGTAAATCAGTTTATACTGCACTGTGTTCACAATTTGGGGAATGGTGAATTACTTGCAGCCCCAATCTTTTTACTTTCCAGTTTTTCATACGTCTTTATTTATTGAGGGAATCTCTAATTTTCTATTAATTACTCTATACATGTACATGTTATGTACTATGTATGTGGGGGAGCAAATTTGCCACAGACATAATTATATCACATGTAGATATTTGTCTCCTTCATTCTAAAAATAAAAATTCCTTATAAAAAAAAATTTAAAAAAATGCTCCTGTAAAACATAAATAAATACAAAGTCCATGTGAGCTATTTCAACTATGTAAGAATGGGGAGAGGAGGGGGAATATGAGGGAGGGAATGAGGAGGTGTTGCCTTACCCATACACCCATTGTGACTGTCCTATCATATACATCAACCTTCTTGGCTCCAAAGGCAGCTCCTATAGTCTGGAATGCAAAGAGAATGTAGACGTACATAAATACATCATAAATTAGAATATTCTAAGTTACATACTGTAGTGTCCACTTGATGGTTTGAATCTATAAAGACATTTCTCAACTTTGAGAAAGCTTGCTACAGTTTGTACGTGTACAGTAGGGTTATTTTTATAGTAATTGATACAAAAAGAGGTGTCAATTTTTTCCATTGTTGTGTCTGAAATACAAAATTGAAAAGGGGGTTAAATTCATGAGTGGTGGGAACAGGAAGTATCCCTATGTTTTGTTCTCTTTTTTTTCCTAAAGAAGAGGATGGTTGACACAATATTATTCCAGGATTTTAAAGGTAGTGTATCCCTTTTGCAGCCATCATCAAATTCTGTAGAACTTTGCAGGAAATTATGAATATGTCACATACAGTGTATGTCCTATGTAGTGTCCTAGTATTCAAATTAGGCAAGCTAGAAACCTGTTTACTTTCTAGACTTCACTGTCAGATAAGTTATTGAGTGACTGACTGACTTTTTTTTTCTTTGGTAATAACCTACATAAAATGAGCTGTAAAGGGTCACATGAGCATGTGTCTACATGTACATTGATAACCCACTTCTTGTAATGGTCAAAATTAAACTGATTGAATCTTTGTGCAGCACAAAACATATGACCATTTGGTACAAGGATCTGAAAATTAAGTATTTAATTAAACAAGCATGCTCGCTCAATTTGATTCAGCAACAGGCGTTATTTTTCCACAAAAAGACATTTTCAAGACATTTTCAAGCCCTTTTGTTTTAAGGGAAGTTCTATAATAGTATTATCTTTCAAATGCTGTTGGAACTTAACCTTACCATTTTTTTGGCCTGCAACTGTAGTACCTTTAAGTGGGCAGTATTTAAACCTACATGTACATGCAATTACTGCTACATATGTATAGTTTAGGAACTTAAACATTTTCCTTTTTGTGTACTTGTGTGGGGGGGGGGGGTAAACATTTCAGTGAACAAAAAAGAGAGGATTTTCTAAAACTGCAAGTCATTATGTCAAAAAAATATCCTAAAAACGAATTTAAATCGATGGCAAAACGCATTTATTCTTATAACATCTTTATCGACCAGAAGTTCTTCCCTTTTGTTTTCCAACGTACATTTCAAAACCATATTTACACTGCCTAAAAAATAGAGGCATTACAGTATATCGTCTGAGATGCCATTTCATATAACAAATATGTTATTCACACCAATAAGCTGCAAACAATCGGATGATTAATGAATTTAATGCAAGTGTTGTTCACATACTACTCCAATGCATCTGTAGTAATTTGCACAAAACAAGAAGAAAACTTAACAGGAAGGAAACAAAGTCAGGGAAATAACTTGGAAAACCATGGGCATCAGAATTACTTCCTGAAGATCATAATTCAGGGTGAATAGTAATCATTTCCTGGGCTGGAAAGAAATGGTATTTTATTACAGGATTTTCATTAATATGTTTGTCTCCTATCAATCCTCAACATGTACATGCATGCATTCTAAGTAAAACATTTAATGTTCTTGAAATCATATACCATAAAGTCTTTTTCTGTGGATAAAGTGTGCATGATCAGAGCCAATTTAACAAAGATGAAGAATATCTACAAGGGAAAATGTTTTTGGACAACAATTTTCTTTTAATCAACTACACATTTAAAAATTCATGACTGTTATATTCTCTTTTTAATTTTTCTCAAACTTGATGATTCTTTCACAATTCTCTTTTTACATACATGTACAGTGTACATGTACAGCCAACTTGATAATATCAAGGGAGATTTGTTTTAACTTAAGGTCATATGGTTCTTTAATGTACAATACTAGAACTTAGAAAGGAATAAAAATGTAAAGATTTTAGGTGATTAATTGATCCCTTCAACAAAAATATATCGGACACTTCTTGCAGATCCGCATCTATTTCATGTAGCACATCAAAAGCGATTGTTGCTGTTTATGTAATGCATACTTCTACAATGTTAATTTGTTCGCAAGATAAATATACATGTATACGTGTATGTTTTGGCAAACCTATCGGCAAATGTACAGGAAATCTTGCCAACTACATTTGTGAAGGTCAAGGATGAGTTTTCGATCATTTAATTTCTCTCTTCTTCTCCTTCTTCTTCTCATCCTCCTTCTTTTTCTTTTTCTTTTTCTTTTTCTTCTTCTCCTCATCCCTCCCCTTGTCCCCTTGTTTTAAATACAAGAAATTAAACTGAAGTGTCTTGGCATACTGTATGAGATGAATATTCTCGATTAGATGCAGGTCTGTTGGAACAACACTCTTTTTAGTCAAAACTCAAACGACAAAAGCACAACAAAAATAATTTTTGTAGAACAATGGCATGGCATTGTTTCAAGTTCACCAACATCCCGTTGAAACGTGTGTTAAACTTAATACACATATTTCAAGGGATGTTGATGAACTTGTACATGTACTTATGACAATTTCATGAAACGATGACCAGTATACAAAAAATAAGGTAAACCTACACATCTATTACTCACACTCACGTTTTGGTACGGCACATCCCCATGAAATCTGTCATGGAGATAACGTTCCACAAGACTAGTCTTTCCACCATACTCCTTCCCCAGGAGCACAACTTTTAGGTCCACTCTACTTCCACTCATCGTCAGTTCTAATGTGGTCTGCTTAGAAGTTTGTTCACATCAGTTTATATTATAGCTCTCGAGTAGTACTGTTAGTCCACCACACATTTTACTCATCAGATCTCGCAGTGTCAGTGTTCGGTGGCAGTCCATAGATATCAACCATCATTCTTCTTACATGTATAGAGGCTTATCATTCATGAACGTGAACTTTTCTTCCTAATTCCAAGTCAACGTCAGCTGAGTGATGCTGGGTTTCCCGAAGGGAATGGCAAGCCAATATAGTGATCAGATCTCTATCATGTCTATGTTTCAATAAACAATTTCACAATTCACTAACACACGTGTTGTTGTGTTAAACTCATTAAAATTCTACAAAGTCACAGAGTAAGAAAAAAAATTAAATCAAAAAAATTGTCTAGAAATTTAATTTTTAATTCCTTTCATAGATTCTACAATTTTCAACAACAATTAGAATTAACATCAATTGATCATGGTGACTATCTATACAACAGACAGCAAAGAAATAATCCTAGGTCTAGGATCCTTTTGTTAGTAAATCTCAATTTTGATCCACTGATTTGACGCTCTAAACTTTGTCAGCAGACAATATGGAGTCGCACTCTCTCTGACATCCCGAAGTGCTGTATGTAGGCCGCGCTCTTCGCCCATATCAGCACAACGTTCCTCCCCTACTGTAGCCCATTCACTTGGCTGCCGTTCCGCTGATGAGAGCTACAGAGTACAGGCGCAGGCAGAGCAGCAGAGATGAAGATTGTGCACTGCTCAATACTTCAATAAGATATTCAGGAAAATGTTCACGTTCAGCATGAGCTTTTGTCAGTCTCGAGTGCAAAATTTGACAAGAAACGATTTAAACAGGCAATCTAAACTGTATTAATGAAGATGAGGAACCTCCCTCTCGATCTCGTACAAGTATGTGTACAGTACATGTACAACGCAACAGGCTAGGCCGAGGTCAAAGGTCAAACAATAGTTTGCTGCGATTCCTGTAAAACGTGCATCAATAACCCTTGAGGGTTTATGGTTGAATATCTCAAATTGTATTGATTGTGGGAAAATGGAAATAGAAACCCCTCTCACGTCCATCACGTGTGTTTAAAAAGATTTACAATATCTTATTAATAAATTCATTGAAGAAAGAAACAAAAATCGTATAACATAATATATCAGACAGTGATCCAGATCCAGTGCTCACTAATTTTTTTTAAATAATTGTTTTAAATGAAATTGTCCTCGGGGTGGTTTTCCTTGGTTGTCCTTGGGGTGGGGGTAATTTTCCTATGATATAGGCTGTAATGTTTAGGGATGGGGTAATTATCCTCGGGGAGGTTGTCCTTGGTTAATGTTTTTAGGGGGGGTAATTGTCCTCGGCGAGTAGTAATAGAGTCCGACCCGGGGGGCGTATCGTCTTTGGGAGTATTTTTTCCAAGGGGTAATTGTCCTGATATATATATATGCAGAATATATATATGCCTACGTATATATAAATTCATCCGCCTTTATGTTAGGCACACACCTTTTTGTTAGGGGTTGCATGGCGGGTGACAAGATTAGCATTTAATGCTATTTTCCTTACATTGTTAAACATTCACATTTGATTGTTTGGATAATTAACTTCAAACTTCAAACTATACTTAAACAGTATGAAAGCTGTTCTCCCTGATGGCCCTTCGTTACCATATCATTAACCCGGCTTTTTAAGCATCTTCTGATCGAGCGAGCGGCCAAAGATGTTTATAGTGAGCTTAATTTTTTAAAGTTCATGATAAAAAAATCGCAATGTTACCATGAAAATATACATAGCCTAATTAAATATGAAATTAAAAATAGACCACGATAGGTATATTTACCCTTCCCTTTAACCCCCCCCCCCCAAGAAAAAGTAACTAACTTGTGAGTCCACCTAATAGTATAAGTTCGTTTAGCATTTCCCTGTAATTATTTCGCATTAAAAAAACAATGTCAAAGATATTTCTCTGCTAATTTTTCGTTATATAACTGCATGCGCGTCTTATTACGATTACCGTATCTTGTATTCGTGTATATAATTGGGGAATGAAATAGATTTTAGAAAATACAGAGCGACTATTTATATTACTGTTATGAATTTGTCTTTATTTCAAAGTAAATTCTAATAAATAAATAATTCTAAGAAATATGATTCAAGGTCACATAAGTTATATATTTTTTTTTATTAGAAGCTACAAAAGTTTGGAACACTTTTTTATACGCACGTACTGCAGTCTCTCATTATCATCCTCAAGCAGTTCTTCCAATTCCTACCTCTTATTCCCTCCATCATCTACTCTTCCTTTCATCTTCCTTCTTCAATTATTCTATCAACCTACCTCAGATACAGAGTTGTTCATGCAAGCATCATTCTTAGAGGACCAATGTCTATCATATTGAAGTCTCTCGTTCCCTCCATCATCTACTCTTCCTTTCATCTTCCTTCTTCAATCATCCCATCAACCTACCTCAGATACTGAGTTATTCATGCAGGCATCATTCTTAGAGGACCAATGTCTATCATATTGAAGTCTCTCGTTCCCTCCATCATCTACTCTTCCTTTCATCTTCCTTCTTCAATCATCCCATCAACCTACCTCAGATACTGAGTTGTTCATTCAGGTATCATTCTTAGAGGACCAATGTCTATCATATTGAAGTCTCTCATTAGCATCCATCTTAGCAAGCAGTTCATCCCCTTCCTACCTCATATTCCCTCCATCATCTCCTCTTCCCTCCATCATCTACTCTTCCTTTCATCTTCCTTCTTTAATCGTTCTATCAACCTACCTCAGATACTGAGTTGTTCATGCAAGCATCATTCTTAGAGGACCAATGTCTATCATTATTGAAGTCTCTCATTAGCATCATCTTAGCAAGCAGTTCATCCCTCTCCCTCTTCAGAGCTGTAAAAGAATATCATCTTAACTTAATGATATCTCCGTAAATTTTACATAATTATAGATAATTTCTCAATATACGATAATTTTGAAGTTATAGACCCTAGGGGCGCACATCAAGCCTAACAAAACAAATGGAAGAAACGGCAATAAAATCAAACGGCCTGAACAAATTTATGAACTATAAATTGATAAAATAGTCGAGTAATAAAAAGAGAAAGAAAACAAAGAACGAAATGAGACTAGACCTTTTTTCTTTGCTCACTTAAAAATAGTGTTGATGATAATGACACAACGATAAAAAGAATGTGAAAACTTGCATGAATAATGCCATAAAAAATCTGGAAAATATGAAAAGAAACTGATTGTCAGTAAGAGTAAGGAAATACGCGCCCCCTGTCTGTCACGTCCCCCCCCCCCTACGCAAATAAAGGTCTCTTTTATTGTTATTATTATTTTTTGTTATTCATTTATGTTTTTCAATATTAGCTCGAATGTCCTCCCCCCGTTACCATCTCAAATTAAAATCTGTCCTCATCACTTATACCGTCATCGAAAATCAATTATACGCGTCACATTATGCAGCTCATATCTCATCAGTTGCTATATAGTATAATGACCAAAGCAATAGATGGCGCCATAGCAAATAGCACATCAGCTCGGAACTAGCTATTAATATCGTTGAATCGGCTCCTAGCAGACCGCGGAACTCTAGATCTAAATCTGATTAGTTTAAAGCTCTTTAAACTAAGCTTGAGAGGATTTTCCCCTTGTGTGAAAAGGGAGGTATACGTAAAGTGTGCGTGAGTGGTTCAGACTCTCTTACTCCACCCAAATGATGGATCTATAGTGGGGAGGGGCGGGCCTGGGCCCCCTCTCCTCCCCCCCAAAGGTAAATAATTATAACCTTTTTAAACGCTAAATATTTTCTCACGAATTGGGTCCCTATTTGGCTCCCTCCCTTGCCGCCGGCTGGAACCAGTGGCGGATCCAGGGGGGGGGGGGGGGGAATCCATGGGAAAAAAGTGTATTTGTACCTTTTTTTTGGAGATGACCCCCTCCCCCCTGGCGCTTAAGGGGGGAGGGCAATTTTTCAAATTTTCGAGGACAAAAAAAAAAAAAAAAATAGTGCTCACTATACCCCCCCTTCCGGACTGGACTTATCCTTTAACAATACTCACTCAAACAGTTTGCTATGTAGGCCTACCAGTAGCGGACCATGAGGTATATAGTATTCTCAAAATGATGTTATATTTTCGATCCCATGCTCATTTTTCGAGGGGGGAGGGTTCCAAAAAAGCTGTGGGGTCACTTTTTTGTTTAGGTATACCAGCCAGAGAATGAGTTGTTATCAAAGACATGGGGATATGGAGCCTACACGGTGCACTTCATGCGCACCCCCCCCCCCCCCCCCCGAGGCAAATGGGTCTTTTTAATATTATTTTCAAATTTCCAAACTGAAATAGGCTGCATCTAGCTAGTCCAAAGTGGACTTTGTTGGATGCTTTACATTTTTCACACGCCTTCCCATAAAAAAAAATGTATTTCATGTTACAGTTGAGAAAAAGGAATAGGCCTAATTTGACCAATCAGCAGTAATCCTTCAATGATAAGGGCCAGCATATTTTTAATATTAAGTCTCCTTTTCTTCTTCTTCTTCTTCTTCTTCTTCTTCTTCTTCTTCTTCTTCTTCTTCTTCTTCTTACATCTTCCTTCAGACTTTAAAATGCTAACTTTATTGGAGGAGCCACTCGCACCTTTGAATGTTTTTTTTAAAACAGATACAGTATATGGCGCCATACCGATGCTGTGAATCATCATCATCATCATCTTCTTCTTCTTCTTCTTCTTCTTCTTCCCCCGTTCTCCTTCTTCTCTAAATTGATAACGAAAGCGGGTTTCAAATATAAAAAGTTATTATCGTCAACCGTCATATCATTGTTCTTTATGAGCTAATAGCTTATCGAAATCTAAACTAAAGGGCGTTGGCAAATTTGCAGTTGCTTTGGTAACAACAATGGGCTCTAGCTTTCCCATTTCCCCCACAATGCAATATCGGATTGTTATTGTGATCAGTCTGGGTCAAAGGGCAATGTCTTTGTGTCGCTTATATCTCGGCTTAGCAATGCACCCGCGAATTTGTCATGGACGATACGTGGAGGTCAAATGTCCGCTCTATAACGCGCTCGTAGGTGTGATTTGCGTTACGTACGATTTCAAGAGAAGAATTATCCGCTCATTATTTTGGACGTAGAAAGTCTGTTGTTTTGGGGATTTTATCTGGAAATCTGTGCAAAGGAATGCGTCCCGATTCAGAGGAAATGACTTTGATAAGTTAGAAATGGAATGTACTGTTAATCCGCTATGAAATCGGATGAATTAGTGTCAAATTTGTACTTTTCATTTCAATATTCCTGTAGATAGTTAATCATTTCTTAGCCGTGTTTAGCATTTGTACAGAAACATGTCGGCTGCGCCTTCAGCTGCGGGCATGCATTCAGCATGTCAATCTGGGAGGAGTGGAGAATTCATTGTTGGCAGTGATAAATATAAATACCGTTTGGTGAGAAAGATAGGCAGTGGATCATTCGGAGATATTTATCTTGGAATCAACATTCACAATGGGGAGGCAAGTATAAATATTTAATTTTAATCATTTGAAGAGGAATTTAGCTTCTTTTTTGGGGACTTTTTTAATTCACAATCAGTCACATGATTCAATTCAATTTCAATTGTTTTTCTTTTCCAAATCATTAACAATTTTACATCAAATACAATTTATGTACTGTATAAGTCTGTAACTAACATTTTAGTGTGTATATGTATTAGGCCTAACTAGGCCTATTGTAATTGTATGACTAGGTCTAGACTAGGTCTACTAGAGGTCTACCGTCTACGGTCTAGACTAAGTTCTATTTCTAAATTCTAGTAAGATTTTGTAGTAGAGTCTACTCTATTTGAAGTATGATCAGATCGAATTTGATTGAATGGGTGACCGTGACGTGACCAGACTTTTCCAAAGTTCGCA